TTATGGGAGCATTCAATCCATTCACATTTAAGGTGATTATTGATATGTACTTATTTATTGCCATTTTTGTTTAGTGTGGTTCTATTTTTCTTCCCATTTCTCCTGCTAATTACAGCAGACCCTTTAACATTTCTTGCAGTGTTGGTTTGGTGCTAATGTATTCCCTTAGCCTTTTTTTGTCTGGGAAGCTCTTTATTTGACCTTCTATTTTGAATGATAGCCTTGCTGGGTAGAGTAGTCTTGGATTTAGATCCTTGTTTTTCATGACCTTGATTACTTCATGCCATTCCCTTCTGGCCTGTAGTGTTTCTTGTGAGAAGTAAGTTGAGAGCCTTATGGGGTTTCCTTTGTAGGTAACCTGTTGCTTATCTCTTGCTGCTTTTAGGATTCTCTTTTTGTCTTTAATTTTTGGCAGTTTGATTACTATGTATCTTGGTGTGGGCCTGTTTGGGTTCTTCTTACTTGGGGCTCTCTGTGCTTCTTGAACTTGAATGCCTTCTTCCTTCACCAAATTAGGAAAGTTTTCTGTCACTATTTCTTCTTGCTCATTTTCTTCTTCTTTGGGGACTCCTATGATGCGAATATTATTTCGTTTCCAGTTTTCCCACAGTTCTCTTAAGCTGTCTTCCTGTTTTTTAATCGTTTTTTCCTTTTGGTTTTCTGATTGGTTGATTTTTTCTACCCTGTCTTCTAATTCACAGATCCAGTCCTCAGCTTCCTCTACTCTGCTTTTTATACCTCCCAATGTGTTTTTCATTTCTGATATGTCGTTTTTAATTTCCAACTGGTTGATTTTCAACATTTCTATGTCTTTACTCATGGTGCTCATGTCCTTACACATGCTGTTGAGCTTCCTTAAGATCATGGCTCTGAATTCTAGTTCTGTTAACTTGCTTAACTGCACCTCATTTATCTCATCTTCGGTAGAGGTCTCTTGTTCTTTCATTTGGCTTTTGTTTCTGTTTTTCACCATTTTGGCTATCACAGTGGGCTTTGGAGTCTGCCTAATTTTCCCTGTGGTGATGGTGTTCTGCTGTTTGTGGCTCCCTCTCCTGGCTTTGGATGAGGCAGGGAGGACCCACTTTAACCACTACTGTCAAGTCTCAACTTTCCTCTAGCTTTTTTTTGCCTGGAGGCTATTAGTAGAGGTCACCTGAAGAACCTTGGTTTCTGAGTTGCCTGAAAAACTCCTTCAGGTGCTCAGTGTAAGAGGATTTCCCGAGGGTGGGGCAGATGCTGGTTGTTAATGTGCCTCAATTAGCATTTCAATGGCTACCAGGTGGGGTTGAATCTCCGGGGGAGGGGCCTCCACCTCTCCCCAGAGCCCAGGGAAGGAGTGCAATGACCATAGTCCTTCGTGGCTGCACTCAGCAAAAGCTCTGAGCACCCTCCAAATCCCGCGTGTCCCCTCACAGTTCCAGTCCACTCTGCCTTCCCTCTGCTGGAGTCCAAGGTGAGTGGCTGCTGCCAATTTAGCCTCTGTCCAGACTCTACATCATGGAGCCGCCTGGGACTTTAACCTGAGGGCGCTGCTCCCAGCTAAGGGCTGCCGAATCTGCAGCACCAGCCCAGGGTATAGCATAGCACTCAGCTGAGTTCGCAGGACTCAGCCGTGGTCGCGGATGCAGCCGAGGCGGTAGCAGCTTCCAGCCGAGTCTCCTGGTCCCAGCCAAGTCCGCTGGTCCCAGCCCAGGCCGCTGCGAACCATGGGCTCCCGGCCCTCTCTCGTGTCCTCGCAAGCTTACCAGGATTGAGTCAGTGTCCCTGCTTATGTGGTCCTCCAGGCTGCCTTTCGGTTGCCCCTTCCTGATGATTTGTCTTTATTTTCGTTGTAAATCCCGTTTGGTCCTGGGAGATGGTCTGTGTAGCTCCATTCACTCCGCTGCCATTTTTTCTTCTCCCCTGTTTGTTTTCTTTTTGTTGAGTTTTAAGGGTTCTTTGTATGTTTTGGATAACAATCCATTATCAGTGTGTTTTGCAAATATTTTCTCCCAGTCTATGTTTTGACTTCTCATTCTTTTGATAGTGACTTTTGCAGAGCAGAAGTTTTTAATTTTAATGAAGTTCTACTAATTAATTATTTGTTTCGTGGATATGTCTTTGGTGTCATGTCTAAGAAGGCATCGTCGTACCCAAGCTCATCCAGGTGTTCTCCTATGTTGTTTTCTAGGAGTTTTATAGTGTTGAGTTTTACATTTAGGTCTGTGACCCATTTTGAGTTAGATTTGTGAAGGTTATTAGTATATAAATTCTGTGTCTAGATCCATTTTTTTCTTTACATATCTATGTCCAGTTGTTCCAGCACCATTGTTGAAGAGACTATCTTTGTTCTGCTGCATTGCTTTTGCTTCTTTGGCAAGGATCAGGTAACTATATTTATTTGGGTTTATTTCTGGGCTCTCTGCTCCATTCCATTGATTTATTTGTCTATTCTTTAGCCAATGCCACGGTGTCTTGATTACAGTAGCTCTAGATAGTAAGTCTTAAAGTTGGGTAGCTTTGTCCTTCATCAGTATTGTGTTGGCTATTCTGGGTCTTTTACTTCTTCCTATAAACTTTAGAATCAGTTTGTTGATATTCATAAAATAACTTTCTGGGATTTTTATTAAGGTTTCATTGGATCTATAGATCAAATTGGGAAGAACTGACATATTGACAATATTGAATCTTCTTATCCATTAACATGGATATCCATTTATTTAGTTCTTTGACTTTGTTCATCAGAATTTTGAAGCTTTCCTTATTTAGAACATGTACCTATTTTATTACACTTATACCTAAGTATTTTATTTTGGAGGGTGCTAACATAAATAGTGTATTTTTTAATTTCAAATTCTACTTACAATTGCTAAAATATAGGAAAGCAGTTGCCTTTAGTATATTAACCCTATATTCTGCAGCTTTGATATACCTGGTTATTCGTTTTTGGTCACTTCTTTCAGACTTTCTACATAGACACATTGTCTGCAAACAAAGACATTTCTGTATCTTCCTTCCCAGTCTGTACATCTTTTATTTCCTTTGTCTTACCTTATTGCATTGTATGGTGTTGAAAAGCAGTGATGAGGAGATATCCTAGCCTTGTACCTGATCTTAGTTGGGAAGCTTTGATGTTAGCTATAGGTTTTTTAAGATAGTCTCTATCAAGTTGAAAGTTTCCTTTTCCCCTGGAGTTTTTAACTCTGAAGCCTTCCACTCTGAGCCTGCAGTAATTTGTCGATTACAGTTTAGGTTTTCTTATCCTATACTGGTTCCTGTGGGGGTTTTTGCAGCTTTTTACTTGTTGTTAGGATGGTTCAAGCTCCCTACATGCTGATCCAGAAACTGTGAATCGCCTAAGATTTATTTGAATATTTTTGTTTACAGAAGTTTTTCATTTTGATGCAGTCAAAGTGTCAGTCTTTTAGGAATAGGAACCCCTTCTTACCCTGAGCTCGTGACTCTTCTGTATTATTTAAATAGTTAAAAATCTTTTTTTTTTCATTTTTGGAAATTAAAAGTTACATCTAGGGTTTCTCATCATTTCCTTTTTCCAGTGCTCTGCACAGTCCAAGAGTTCACACTTACATCTGAGTCAGGTGGGCAGTCCCTAAAGTGCTGTGAGGGAACCAGGGCATTCATCATGAGCCGAGAAAGCTGAAAAGATTCTTTAAAGATTCTCTGAAATGCAAGGCTGAGAAATATGCCATAACATTCGTTTTCTGGAACCTAAACTTCTGATGAAATTGTATTGACTAAGAATAAGGCTGTAGGTGAAAAGAAGAACATGGAAATAGCACAATGAAGATGATGCAGTGTAATCCAAACTGAGAGAAACTCTGCAGGACAAATGTTTCTTTGCAATTTTCAGCAGAAGAATTGCAGAGAAAAAAAAGAGATGGAGGGGCAACCTGTAGACTAAAAGAGAATTAAAAAATGTAACAATTAATTGTAAATATGACTTTATTTCAATCCTGATTCAAAGCAAACTGTAAACATTTTTTTCTAAGACAATGTGTGAAATATTGGGGAAAATACACAAATGCTTGGATACTTGATATTAAGGAATTAATATTCACATTTTAAAAGAGGGAATAATGATATTATGATTGGGTTAAAAGAAAGTCCTTTTAGAGATTAATCATGAAATCTATAATACCCCGGATTTACTTAAAGTAATCCAGGGGTGAGGGTATAGGTGAAACAAGTTGGATTTTTACTGGAATTTTGAATCAGTGTTTAAGGGGAAAATAGAGATTTGGTGGAATTGATTTTTTTTTTCAGTAAATTCATTTTAGGAGGCCAAATATTTCTAAAGCATTTGTTTAATCATTTATTAATGCTTGGCTCCAGGGACAAAGCTGTGAATAATATAGGCAAAAGCCAGTGCTCTCAGGAACCTAGGGGGATGAGGCAGGAGACAATAAACAGGTGAAGCAAATCAACATGGAAATATTAACTGGTGAGATGTACAGTGATGAAAATAAGACAGTGTGGTGGGACAGTGATTGGCAGAAGGATCATCGAAGATCTAATTGAGGAGTGCCACTCATCCCCAGTGTGGAAAATGCTTCATAAATGACATCCTGGATGTCAAGAAGGAGTCAGTCATGGGAAGGTCTAGGGAAGATCCAGGCAGGGGACCAGCTCATGCAAAGGCTCTGAGGTTGGCCCACATGGGAGACAGAATGAAGACTAGCATTGCTGGAGTGTCATAATAGGTTGGTGGTGATAGGCTAGGCACCACTGGTCCAAAGGGAGAAGCATTAGGGGTTCCAGAAAGCACCATGACCGGCTACTTAACCATTACGTGAGAGTTTCCACTGCCTCGTGCTGTTTGGGAAGAATGCCCTTGTTTTAGATTTGTCTTTTCAGTCGTGCCTTCAGTGTCCCTTGCCAGGATGATCTCTTCTGGGGGAAAGCCCCCAGGAGGCAGTGCTTCCGGTACCTGAATTGGCATTGAAGTTGGGTGGAAGGACACTCGTTGTGGCCATTTTGATTTGTTGCTCTCTCCTTCGCAGTGCCATTTTTGTGACAAGGCCTTTATGAACCAAGCCTTTCTACAGAGTCACATTCAGCGCCGCCACCCTGAAGATTCTCACCTTGGTAAGTAATGAGCTCAACTTTAATGAGCTGTTTTCTTTCTGGTAATTTCACCCCCAGTGAGACATGGTCCAGTGCATTTCTCAATCATTTTAAAAGAAAGTATCACTGTTCTTGTCCATTCATGAAGTAAATACTGAGCCCCTACCGTGTACCAGGCACGGCACTAGGGGCCTAGATAACAGCCCCAAGCAAAACAGACTGAGCCCTGAATTCTAATGGTTCTTACATCTGATAAGGAGGGGCAGGGGAAACACACTTAAATGAATAAGTGATCCTTTTAAAATGGTGGCAAATGCAATAAAGAAAATAAATCAGGGGAATGGGATGGGGAGTGACTCCAGGTAATCAGCAAGGGCTTCACTGAGGAGGTAATATTTGATCAGAAACCAGTTTGGGGAGAATCTGAGAAATGAACGTCCTAGGCAAGGGGAAGTCTGATTTTGAGGGATGTAAGGGGCAGGCAGGACGACGTGTTTGAGGACCAGATAGAAGGTTGGTGGAGCAGAGTGAACAAGGCAGTGATACGTGGTGATGTTGGAGAGGAAGGAGCCAGGCCCCACGGGGCCTTGAATGCCCTGGGCAGGAATGTGGGTGTTTTTATAAGCATAATGGGAAGCTACTGAGGGATTTTAATTATGAGGGAAGCACAATCTAATTTGTACCTGAGAATGGCCCCTCTAGCTGCTGGTGGAGCGCAGGCTGTAGGGGCAAAGGTAGAAGCAGGTAGAAGAGTAAGGAGGCTACACGAGTTGCCCAGGTGAGAGAAGATGGCAACTGGACCACAGGGGCACCAGGGCAGAGGGGAGAAGTGAAGGCAGAGTGGGTATGTTTTAGACAGAGCCCACAGAAATGTGACTCAGCTTGAGAGGAAAAGATTAGGCAAAGCCAATCCTGGGTTTTTGCCTATATGTTTGGGTGATTGGCAATGTTTCCCAAGATGGGACACCTGGGGGCCAGAAGCAGATTGAGGGAGGAAGAGAATGGAGAGATTGTGCTGGCCATGGGTAAACTCAAGTCACAGGTGCAATTGCCATGCAAGTGGAGATGCTGGAGGTCTGGAGGTCAAGGTGGAGGCCCAGGCTGGAGGTACAAACCTAGGAGTCATTAGCGGAACTGGGCTGCATGAGGTCACCTAGACAGAGAAGAGAAGATAGAGTTAGAAATAGCAGTTATGGAGGCAAAAGGGAAACCTGTGGAGTGTGTTATTATGAAAATTAAGGGAAATAAGTGTTTCAAAAAGGAGACAGTGGTCAATTGTATCTAATGTTCCTGAGACACAGAGTAATGTTTGTTTGATTTGATGCGGGAGATACTCAGATGTGTTTGGGTACTGATGTGAATTAACCAGTGTGTAGAGGGGGAAACTGAGGACGCGAGAGAGGGGAAGGATTCTGTGGTTTATCAAGGACTCAGGTTTCCTGGTAGTTCAGGGCTCTCAAAAGTAAAGAATGCAAGGTCTATTTCTCCAGGAGCAGATCAAAGCATTCTACAGATTGCTACAGTAATCTACAGAAATTCTCATTATGATCTTACATATTTTTGGTTTCTAGACCTGTGTACTTCTAGCTTGTTGCTCAGTGCCTACTTTTCTTTCCCTTTTGGGCCAATCTGTTTACATTTCTGCCTATTTCAGGTAAATAGATTTATTTAGGAAATAGCTAAGCTTTGTGTAAACAATGTGAACAGCATAAAATTCCATTTATAAGCCATGGTCTACTGATACAATTTAACAATATATTGGAGAAATTGGAAAGATTAAATAGTTTGATTAATCTACCATTCTTCAGTGTGAAACTGACTTTCTTTCTCTTCTGTTTCAGTATCTTATTCTATCTCATACTCGTTTCAGAGAGCACTTCACACTCTGAAATGAGTATTACTTCTTCAGGTCATCTTTGAGATTCTGACTTTCTACTTTGGTTTCCATACCTTTCATGTCTACACTCACAGACACATGTATATCCATTCAGTCATGTGTACATCTGCATGTAAGTACATGTACATAAATATTCCTCCCTTCACTGTTGCTTCCTTTTACAGCTTTTCAGTACTGCGTGTTTGCCCTGTCGACAGGTTACGGCCCGAGCTTGCAATTGGAATGCCTGCCTCTGCCTGTCTTAGCACTGATGGGGTTCTCAGGAGAATTCAGTGGGAGCGGAAGGATGGTGATCATAGAGATTTCAGTGAGGTGGTACCTGCAGTGGAAGCCATTGCTTCCCTTCTCTGACTGAGACAGGCATCTCGAAGAAGGGCCCAGGATTATTCCTTGTCACCATTGCTGCTCCATGAATGGGCTCTTCACTGTCTCTGGGATAATCCAACCTCAACACAGTGGCTAAAGAATCTGCTAAAAATAATTCAGGGCCCAATAATACAAGGGACTGCTAATAAACATTAAGTAGCAAAAATTGGCTCATGTGGCATAAAAAAAGTAATATCCCAAGTAAGAGTAGTTTCCTTTGTCTTATCATAGAGCTCTACCCTGTCAATTTTCAGATAGGTTTCATAAGCATAGGTTTCATAGTTTAACAAGAGATTTCTGTTGCCACAGACTATAAGAAAAATGATCTGACCAATAAGCTCCAGAATGAGATCGACATGTTGAAGGAGCAGCTGCAGCTCACCAAGTCTCAGTTAGAGGCTTCTCAGCACGCCCACGCAGTCAGATTCTCTGAGGTATGATCCCAAATCTCCAAACAATGGTATGTTGGGAAGGATTGGCGTTAATGCCTTTTAAATGTTTGGCAGAATTCACCAGTGAAGCTATCTGGTCCTGGACTTTCCTTTGCTGGGAGATTTTGATTACTGATTCAGTTTTCTTACTTTTTACTAGTCTGTTCAGATTTCCTATTCCTTCATGATTCAGTTTTGGTGGATATGTCTCTAGGATTTTATCCATTTCTTCTCGATTGTCCAATTTGTTGGCATATAATTGTTCCTGGTATTCTCTTATTATCCTTTGTAACTCTGTGGTATCAGTTGTAATGCCCCCTCTTTCATTTATAATTTTGAGTCTTCTCTCTTTCTTGGTTAGTCTAGCTAATGGTTTCTCAATTTTTATTTCTGCAGGAAACCAACTCTTAGTTTTGTTGATCTCCTCTGTTGTTTCCCTGTTCTCTGTCATATCGATTTCTGTTCTAATCTTTATAATTTCCATCCCTCTGCTGACATTGGGCTTCGTTTATTTTCCTAGTTATTTGAAGTGTAATGTTAGGTTGTTTATTTGTAATTTATTTCTTAATGTAGGTGTTTATACCTATTAAATTTTCTTAGAACTGCTTTGCTACATCCCATAAGTTTTAGTATGTTGTGTTTCCATTTAGTATGTTTCCATTTTTGTTTGTCTCCAGATATTTTTTCTTTTTTCTTTGACCCATTGGTTATTTAGGAGTGTGTTGTTTAATTTCCACGTATTTGTGAATTTTTCAATTTTCCTCTTGTTACTAATTTCTAGTTTCATGCAGTGTGGTTAGAAAAGATGCTTGAGCACTGGCTGGGTAGCTCAGTTGGTTATAGTGTCGTGACGATATGCGAAGATTGCAGGTTCAATTACTGGTCAGGGCACATATAAGAATCAACCAATTACCCTGGCCAGTTTGGCTCAGCGTTTGAATGTTGGCCTGCAGACCAGAGAGTCCTGGGTTCAGTTCCCACTAGAGGCACGTACCACAAAAAAAAAAAATCAACCAATGAATATATAATAAGTGGCACAAGAAATTGATATTTCTCTCTTGCTTGCTCTCGCTCTCTCTTGCATGCTCTTTTTCTCCCTTCCTCTCTCTCTCAAATCAATATAAAAAAAAAATTTAAAAAGAAAAGATGCTTGATAGAATTTCAGTCTTCTTGAATTTGTTAATACTTATTTTGTGACCTAACATATGATCTATCCTAGAGAATGTTCTGTGTGTGCTGAGAAGAATGTGTGTCTGCTGCTGTTGGATGGATGTTCTGTATATGTCTGTTAGGTTCATTTGATCTGTAGCAGTGATTTCAACTAGTATGCTGCAGCACGCAGTACCTGCCTGTTTCGTCAGGGGCACTGACCTCTTATCCCTTAGATTGTCAAATAAAAAAATGACAACAGCCAACACAACAATAGCCATCTGATGTGAATGAATCAAAATTATACCTTTTTTTTTTTTTTTTTGTCAGATTGGCAAGAAATATATTTTTTGGTGTGCCGCAGAATTTTAGTAGTAATTAGTTTATGTGTCCCATGAGATGAAAAAGGTTGAAAATTGCTGATCTATAGTGTTATTCAAATCCTGTTTTCTTCCTTGATTTTCTGTCTGAATGATCTATCCATTGTTGAGAGTAGGGTATTAAAGTGTCCTTTTATTGTATTACTGTTTATTTCTCTTTTTTGTTCTCCAATTTTTTTTTTTTTTTTTTTTAATCATCCTCACCCGAGGACATTTTTCCATTCTTTGTCCAGATAGAGTGGGAGGGAGAGAGAGGAAGAGAGAGAGAGAGAAACATCGATGTGAAAGGGACACATCGAGTGGTCACCACCCGCACAACCAACCAGGGCCGGGGACAAACTGCAACCGAGGTACATGCCCTTAGCAGGAACCGAACCCGGGTCTCTCCGGACCGCAGGCCGACGCTCCAGCCGCTGAGCCAAACCGGCCAGGGCTGTTCTCCAATTTTTATTAATTTATTTTTGTTACAGATGTTTCTCTTTCCTTCCCCCAGATCCCCTCCTCCTCATCCCCCCCCCATTGTTCTCTTAATATTTGCTTTATATTTAGGTGCTCCAATGTTGAATGTATAAATATGTATAGTAATCTTATATCTTTGTGATGAATTGACTCCTTTATCATTATAGAATGATTCTCTGGGCACTGATTGGCTGTTTCCCTTTTTTGATGTGTTATGTTTTAATTTTTATTCATTTTAAAGTATTTTCTAATTACCCTAGTGAGTTTTTTCTTTGACCCATTAGTTTAAGAGTATGTTATTCAATCTTCACATATTTTTATTTTTCAGTTTTCCTTTGTGATTGATTTCTGGCGTTTCTCCATTGTTGTTGAAGGATATGCTTTGCATGATTTCAGTCTTTTTACATTTATTGAGAATCATTTTATGACCTAACACATGGTCTCTCCTACTCAATCTCCTGTGTGCATTTAACAGGATTGTATATTCTGCTGTTGTTGGGTGCAGTGTTCTTTATATATATATATAAATGTTTTTATTGATATTATTAGAGAGAGAGCTAGAAACATCAATGTGATGTGAGAGAGAAACATTGATCGGCTGCCTCCTGCACGCCACATACCAGGGATTGAGCCTACAACCCGGGCATGTGCCCCAACCAGGAATCAAACTGGTGACTTCTCAGTGCATGGGATGACACTCAATGCATTAGCCACATCAGCCGGGCTCCTTCTGTATGTTTGTTAGGTCGAGTTTGTATATAGTTTATTCAAATCTCCAGTTAGGTTAAAAAAAAGTGAAGATCATCGAGAACTCAAAGGCTGGTTGACAAGACCTTGAATTTAGATTATATAAATATGAATTAGTGTTTTGGGGGGAATGAGATGGGGCTATTGTACCCAAATTGATATGGTATCAAGAAAGACTCAATAGACTTCCTTTTAAAGTATATTTACATTTTATGTATTATTGCATGTCTGCTCTACAAGTTCACAGATCATAGAACTCTTGATACTTGGGGCCTCTGCATTTGTATTTAAGGATGTAAGGATATATGTTGCCTTTGGTTTGTAAAAGTAATTGTGCACAGACCTGCCATTATAGGAAGTGTTACTGCAAGCCTTACTGAAATATGCAGTACGAGCTAACACATTGGAGGTGAAGTTATACTCATTGATTAAAATTTTATGTATTAGCTTTAAATCAGAACTTTTAAAGCCATGTTTTAAAATAATTTCAGGAATATGAAATGCAGAAAACAAAAGAAGAAGAATTTCTGAAGTTATTTCACAGATGGAAAGAAGAAGAAAAGGAAAAATTTGTTGATGAAATGGAAAAATTCAAGGAAATGTGTAAGAGGGAGTTTAAAGAATTAACTTCCAAGAATTCAGCCTTAGAATATGTAAGTATTAAACCGCACAGTCCTCATGGTACTTGGTAGAGTGTTGCCTTGAAAGGTGGCATTAGAATGACAGCTACCTAATCCAGAAGTTCTTCTATTGTGCGCTGGCCCAGACACCCCTCCTCCTGAGGGTCGTAAGGGATCTCTAGGCATACCGAAGACACAACAAGTTAGAAAGGTCATTTCTTTGAGAGTGGGAGCTTTGTCTGCAAACCCAGTGCAGTACAGTTGGTACATTTATTTGGTCAGATGATAGAACAGGGTCCCCTCCTTCATTAGGGTCCCCTCCTTCATTAGCCAGTTCGGTTTAGAAAAACTTAAACCATCAACCCTTCCCTCAGTTTTGAAACTTTCCAAAGTTTCAAAGGAACTTTCCAGGAGAGGCTGACCAGATCCAAGGTGGGAGGAAAACGGAGCTGATCTAGAAAGACAGAGGGAGAATCTCTGCCAGGCCTGGCTGGTGAGGAAGATGGGTTTGGAGCAGGCAGGTTGTGGCTAAATGAGCCCTCCTCCCCTGTGGGAGCAGCCTTGCTCCACGCTCCCCTGGTTACATGCATGGATAACAGACACACGCCTTGCTGGGCTGGGACCTTCATGTCCTGTGAGGGGTTTGTTCAGACAGTGGCCACTGTCGTCCAGCTAAGCATGATCTGAGCTTGCTGGACAGCTCAATGCTAAGTGATCCTTAGGGAAAAAGAAACGGGAGCCCAGGGAAGATCCTTGAGCTCCCTCTAGGGGTCAACACATCTTATAAACTAAACTAGAGGGATATTTTTGGGATACTGCTAAGATCCTTCTCTAAAGGCCCTGAACTCTCACATAAGCGTGGGCAAACTGTGACCTGTGGACCAGATCTGGCATAACCCTGTGTTTGTATGGCTCATGAGCTAACAAGGGCTTTTACATTTTACATGGTTGAAAAAAGTCAAAAGAAGAATATTTCATGACATACACAAATTATATGAAGTTCACATTTCGGTATCCACAAGTAGAGTCTTCTTGGACCACAACCATGCTCATTCCTTTATACGTTGTCTGTGGTGCTTTTGTGCTGGACGCACAGAGTTGAGTGGCTGTGACCGCGACCCTGTGTGTCTCACAAACCCAACAGTGTTTGCTGTCTGGCTCTTCACAGGAAAAATCTGAGAGCTTCTGTCGTACCTCTATGTATGCAAAGTTAACAACTGGTGGAGGTGAAGTGGATGTTTATGGTACTCTTCTCTCACCTTTCCCGGAAGTTGTAATTTAAAAACAACAACAACAACAACAAAAAAACGAGGGGCAAAATAACATCAGCTGGCTCTCTGTGTCCTTTCTGTAGGGATTCCTTCAGGACACGTCCTGTGGGTTCAGTTATCCCCACATTACCTTCCCTTCGTTGCTGTTCTCCCTAAGCGTCAGGACCACAGGCAGTAGTAATTTCTCCAGCCATGGTTTCTTCTACCACCCAGACCCCGGGGTCCTCTCCTGAACCCATGTCTGTGGCCCCTTCTCAAAGGGGGTGCCATGATACCCACAGGAGTGTATTTTGATACTAATTTAAGACTGACTTCTTATGTCTTCCCTATGAAGGCCACACTCATTTTCCCCCTTGTGATAATCTTCCAATTATTGTTCTTTCGCCCAAGATTCCAGTCTCCACGGGCCTGCCCCCTGCTCCTTGCCCCTGTGCCCCTACGCCCCTAGGATAATTGTGGAATAGGAGTTTTTCCCACAGCTTTACCATTTCTACCTTTTAAAAAAGCTTTCTTGAGATATATTTCACATACCAAATAGTTCACCCACTTAAATTGTACAATTCAGTGGTTTTGAATGTTCACAGACTTGTGAACCACCATCACGGTCATTGTAGAACATTTCATTGCCCAGCAAGAAACCTGGTACCCACTGGCACCCTCCCCGCACCTCTCCCTTGCCCCCAGCCCACGGACCACGGGTCTACTCGCGTCTCTATGGATCTGCCTGTTCTAGACATTTCATATAAATTGAATCACACAGTATGTGATCTTTTGTGAGTGGCATCTTTCACTTGGTATAATGTTTTCAAGATTAATCCATGTTGTAGTATTTATCAGTATTTTATTCTTACTTTTTATTGCCAAATGATATTCTGTTGTATGGATATACAATATTTTATTTGTGCATTTATCAGTTGATGGAATTTGTGTTGTTTGCCCTTTTTGGTCATCAACAGACTTTAAAATTATTAAAAATAGACCATTTTTAGAATAGTTTTAGGTTTACGGAAAAATTCAGCAGATAGTTTTGAAAGTTCTATATAAGCCCCCCTCTCCTACCCTGTACACAGTTTTCCATATCCTGACATCTTAAATTAGTAAATTTGTTACAATTAATGAACCAATATTAATACACTTGTATTAATTAAAGTCCATTCTTCTTTCCGATTTCTTTAATTTTTGCCTAATGTTCTTTTTCTGCTCCAGGATCTTATCTAAATACCATAGTACATTTAGTTGTAATGTTTCTTTAAGTTCCCCTTGTCTGTGACAGATTTGTTTTTGATGTGCTGGACAATGTATATTGTAGGATGCTCCTCTATTAGAATTGATTTGATATTCTTCCAGTGGTCAGACTGGGCTTACAGGTTTGTGGGAAGAAGACCTCAGAGTTAAAGTGCAATTTTCATCACATCATATCAAAAGTATATACCATCTACATGATCTATGGTTGTTGATGTTGACCTTGGCCACTTGACTGAGGTTGAGTTTGTCAGATTTCTCCATTGAAAAGTAACCTCCCCGTGTTTCATACTGGGCTCTTTGAAAAGAAGTTGCAATGTGCAGCCCAGACTAAAAGAGCTGGGAACTGAGTTCTCCAACCCTTTTGTTTTTGAAGTTAACATACAGTATTACCTTCTGTGCTTCCTGCTAGTAACTTTGAGACTAACATACAAGCAAAGGGCAAAATTAAAATGTTTTATCCCTAATGGATTCACAAATGTGGCCTTGGGTGGAGTTGGCCTCACCACTAAATTATCTTGAGAACCAGCTACACCCAGTTCCTCTGTGTTCTGGGAACTGTTACATGCCAATCAAAAATTTTAAGACCCCGTGTCTAAGATTAGAAAGTTAAGTTTCTCTTTTCCTTTTTAACCTGTGCATGTTCCTTTTTTGGAAGAAACAAAAGAAGAAAACCATTGGAAAGGTGACGTAAGAGAGCACAACAAGCATCCAATAGGATAGTCATGTTTAAAAAATGGGTGCAGCCCTGGCTGGTTTGGCTCAGCAGTTAGAATGCTGAGCCATAGACCAAAGGCTCCTGGGTTTGATTCCCAGTCAAGGGCACATACATGGGTTGCACGTTCAATCCCCGGCCCTGGTTGGGTTTGTACAGGAGGCAACCAATCTATGTGTCTCTCTCACATCAATATTTCTCTCTCTCCCTCCCTCCCTCCATTACATGCTATCTTAAAAAAAAAAAAAATCAATGGAAAAATACCTCTGGTGAGGATTTAACAAAAAAATAAAACATGAGTACGGGCGCCCCAATTTTATTCTCTATTTCAGTCTTACAAAATAAACATCTGTACCAGTGATTTTTGCATTTCATTTTATAGCAATTGTCAGAAATCCAGAAGTCCAATCTGCAGATCAAGTCCAACTTAGGCACATTAAAAGATGCCCGTGAGTTTAAAGAAGAACGCCCTCAGTATCCCCAGGATTTCCAAAATGTGATGCAATTTCTTGATAGTCAGGTATGTAAAAGTGGGCGATAACTATGGTAGAGGCCTAATTTTTCTTAGTGAAGTAATTTATAGCAAGCATCTTCTACAAAAAAAGTGTATCTTTCAGTGGCCATGAAGGTGGCTGATTCTATTTTCTTGTCTCCTAATACATGTATAATTCATAATAGGTGTTCATTAATTGCTTGTTGATTGACTAATAGACATGGAAACAGAACAGTTGGCAAAATTGCTTCATTTTTCCCTAAGATAATATCTATTTGAATTGGTTAACATTACCTCACTCAGTATTTATTTTTCACACTTGAGATGTAAGTCTCAGTTTCAAAGGCATAGAAAGGCATATTGAAGCACTAACTTTATTTTTAGAGCTCAAATATACTACAACATTGGTGAACTGATGATCTTTTACATTTGTCAAACACAACTGCAGTCATTTGGAAGTGAGCCTCCGTAATCACCGAAGTCTTCACACTGGTCATTTGGTCATACTGGTTTAGCGGAACATTGTGTTTTACCAGGAAACAAATAGAGATTAAAGTTTATGAATTCAGGACTTTTTAAAAAAGCAGTAATACATGATTTTAAAAAATGAGTGTGCTTTTGAAATATGAACAGCTGGCACCGCGGCTTGCTTTGCCGCTCACATCTTGCCTCCCTCCCACAAATCTACACTCCGTGTGACAGCCAGGCTGCCCATGTCACTGTCCTGTCTAACATTTCGGTGGCTCCCCATTTCCACAGATCAAAGTCTTAAATCCTTAACCAGCACTCCAAGTCCCCGAGGACCTGGACCCTGCGTCATCCTCCATCTCTCGGCTTTCCCTTGACACTCCCAGCAGCACCGAGCAGCCGGGGTTCCCAGAACATGGCATTCTGTGTTCTGCTTTTGCTCTTGTGCCTTTTGTTGTCCAGCACCTCCCAGTTGCAAGACTTACAGCTTACTCATTCAGCTGGGGCAGCACCTCTTCTAGAGAGTTCTGGACCTCTGAGTTTTTGCATTTCTGTAGTCCCCCAAGAGGGGCCTGATCCCATGCTCATTATGTGGAAACTCTCTATTGTCATGTCCACCTCCCGCCTGTACCCTTCCTCCTGTCCTTCCCTGGCCAGCCAGGGGCTGCCCACCGAGGTGTCTGGTACATGGTAAGGGACCAAGAATTGTGTCGTGAACCGAGCAATTGGCAGTTGCTCCCAGCAGGTTGGTCTCTCATGAATTAAAGGACCCAGTTATAAAATCCTAAGGTCCCCCCTAAATTTTTTCCTGTTTCTTTCCTATGAGCTGTATTGCCAGTTCAGAACCCATGAACTTAGAAAACGGGGTGTTTCCATTTTGTTTCTTAGGCTGGCCAGCTAGCACTAATATTTTTGAAAACAAAATTTTATTGGAACTAAGCCATACCCATTCATTTAGTTATTATGTATATTTAGTTAGTAGCTGTTCTGCTACTATTCGTAGTGGTAACCCAGTCATCTGGTTCCCAGAGCCTAATGGGAGGGCAAAAGTGGGTGTATAGTTGTTGGTATGGAAAAAGACATGCAAGTTATGATTATTACAATAGACTTTTTAATGCAAAAGAATGTCAAAATGCAAGGTAGACCTACTTTGCCCACCTTTGTATTTACTATTAGCCTCTTAACAGAAAAGGTTTGCTAATACCTGCCTTAGAGTGTAAGACTGAAATCACGACAAATGTGTTTAAACATTTTTGACTGTATGTATTCTAAAAATGCCTGTTAACATTTTACCAAATTGTTGGGTTTCATAGGTACCCACCAGAAAGGAAGCATCCATTTTGAGTAGATTTCATTGTTACAATTGCACATGAATTACTCTTGTTTTATTGTTTCCTAGGAAAGCAAGTGGACAGCTCGAGTTCAAGCTCTTCATCAAGAACACAAAAAAGAGAAGGGTCAGGTGAGATTAAGAAACCATCCCCATGTTCATTGCAGCATTATTTACAAGAGCCAAGATGTAGAGGCAACCTAACTGTCCTCTGTGGACAAGTGGATAAAGAAGATGTGGTACATATTACAATGGAATATTACTCAACCATAAAAAGAATGCAATGTTGCCATTTGTGACAACATGGATGGACCAAGAGTGTATTATGCTAAGTGAAATAAGTTGGACAGAGAAAGACAAATACCATATTATTTTACTTACAAGTGGAATCTAGAAAACAAAATAAACAAACAAACTCATAGATACAGAGAACAAACTGATTGATGGTTGCCAGATGGGAGGGGTGGGGAGATGGGTGAGAAAGGTGAAGGGATTAAGAAGCACAAATTGGCAGTTATAAAATAGTCACAATAAAGTATAGCATAGGTAATATAGTCAATAATATTGTAATGACTCTTATGGTGTCAGATGATTACTAGAATTATGGGGGGATCACTTTGCAACTTATATATAGGTCTAATCACTATATTGTACATCTGAAACTAATATAATTTTGTATGTCAACTGTATCTGGAACACACACACACACACACAAAAGAAACCTATGGCCTATAAGTGGGTCATTTTGCAAAGAATATTTGCTTTTCCTTATAATTAAAGTAGTATTTTTTTACTTAATACATTTTGTGGAGAAACTTAAAATTACTTATAGTTTCAATATCAAAGATAACCACTGCTACTTCTTTGTTATAATTTCTTTGTCTTTTTTCTATGCTGTAAATAATGTTGCATTTCCATAAGTTAGAAACCCACAATCTTACAAATTTTGAATTATGCTTTTTATTTATAACTTTATATACTTTTCACTTAATATATTCTGTTTTCTTATTTGTTTGTTTTTTGTTAATCCTCACCTGAAGGTATTTTTCCATTGGTTTTTAGATAGAGTGGAAGGGAGGGAGGAAGAGAGAGAGAGAAGCATCAATGTGAGAGAGACACATCGATTGGTTGCCTCCCTCACATCCCTGACCGAGACTGGGGATCAAACCCGCAACCCAGGTATGTGCCCTTGACCAGGAATCGAACCCACAACCCTTTAGTCCACAGGCTGACACTCTAACCACTGAGTCAAACAGGTCAGGGCAATATAGCCTATGTTTTAAAATATTCTTTTTTAATGGTTATATGATGATCTTACATGTGTGAAGGGATTACAGATGTAGCGTGAATTAATCATTTCTTCATTGTCGAATAGGTTTCTAATTTTTTCATACAGAGCGACAGTGTAAATACTTTTTAATTTTTATTTATTTTTTATTTTTATCCTCACCCGAGGACATTTTTCCATTTTTTTGTTCAGATAGAGTGGGAGGGAGAGAGAGGAACAGAGAGAGAGAGAAACATCGACGTGAAAGGGACACATCGAGTGGCTGCCACCCACACAACCGATCAGGGCCGGGGACAAACTGCAACCGAGGCATGCGCCCTTAGCGGGAACCGAACCCGGGTCTCTCCAGACCGCAGGCCGACGCTCTAACCGCTGAGCCAAACTGGCCAGGGCGTAAATACTTTTTAAATAAAGACAAGAATTGTTCACATTAAAATCATTTTTATGAAAACAAACTAATTATAACACTGATTTCCTTTCAGCTGAGTGCATTGGAAATTTAAGTGTTAAAGTGATTTTACACTAGTGCAAAACATCTAAAGTAGATTTATTTGAGATCCTTTTCTTTAGGAAAAATTGTGGGGTTGTTTTTTGTTTTTTTTTCAATTTAAATTGTATGGATTTTCTAGTTCTTTGGATCCCCTGTGTCAGTCTGTTCTGGCTGTATAATTATTTCTCACTATACTAGAGGCTGGGATTCTGGGTGTTAACCCATTCAATTCCTAGTGAGTGCCCTCTTGCAGATGGCTACTCTGTCCTTTCATGGCACAGAGAGAGAGAGAGAGAGAGACAGAGAGAGAGAAGGGGAAGAGGGAGGGGAGGGGAGGGGAGGGCAAGCTCAGGTCTTTTCTTATAAGGGCACTAATTCCACCATGAGGACCCTACCTTCATGACTTCATCTAAAACTAGTGAGTGACCTTCCAAAGGCCCCATCTCCTAGTACATTGGGGTTAGGGCATCAACATTAATTTTTGAAGGACACAAATATCAAGTCTATAAGGTTAAGGGAAAGGGATACACAGGACCTGTACTCTGGAGGTGCAAACTTGAGCCGTTTTAGATTTCTGTCTCCACGCCCCTCTCTGGCCCTGCTTTAGGTGTCAGCTGGGACTGCTCCACCTGAGTAGGTAGTCCCCTCCCTTTATTATTGTCATCACTTCATGCATGTAGTTCTGATCACTGTTTTAAATTATTTTTGCTTATTTGTTTGTTTAATTTCTGCTTCTCAAACGAGATCAGTAGCTCTACTATCTAGTTAGTTCTCCATTGTAGTCCCAGCATTCAGTAATTTGCCTAAAAATGTGCTAGATGTCCAGAAAGGGGATCATTCAACCTTGTTTTTGTGGATGGAGAAATGCTGATTATAGGGTTCAGAAGAGCAGGGTCAGTCAGTGTGAGCATGGTATTTGAACTCAGGTCCTCTTAGCCTCTGGGCCCTGCTTGTCTGCTTCACTGCCTTGCTTACCTGTCAGGTGTTAGGCACTTAGCCCGCTGGGGAGGGGACTGGGCTGTGACAACTCAGAGTTGTGGCTTTTCTGTAAGAACAGTCTCGCTTTGCTTTGAGATGCTCTAAGGTAATAGTTCCTAAAGATGGTTGCACTTCAGAGTGACCTGAGGCTTTTTTCCAAAATACACATGCGCCATTCTACAATGTGAGATTCTCATTCAGTAGGTAAGTCTGGGATATGCATATTTGGGTGGGGGGGGGGGGGACACACACCAAAAAACCAAATCTGGACAGTTCTGTTTTGGATCCAGTGTTTGAACCACTACTCTTAGATAATGTGAAGTTCCTACTCTTATTGTTCAAGGCATCTTACAGCATTGGTATTTAGGGACAGAATTCGGGCTTCCTTATCGATAGGGGTAAGAATTAATCCTTGCTCTTTTAAAGCCCCCTGTGTTCCAGGCAGCTGGGGAGCGAGTGGCCTTCTGGCAGAAAGAATGCGAATTGCAGAGTTTCACACCTGCCACCGCAAGTCATGAGAGAGAAGGACCGACTGCTGGTAGTCCAGAGGAAGGGGGACAGGCCTTTCTGGTTCTGAGTGAGGCGCCTCGTTTCCCAAACTGGGAGTGTGGAGTGTTTGGGCCACCGCTAGGCTATGCTGCTCCCTTGTCTGTTCAGAGCTGCTTACTTCTTCCTTCATTTCTCTTACACCCTATCAGGGGGGTGAATTCAATCAGTTTAGTCATCTCTGCCTGAGACCTAAGTATTAATTATTCCACATGATTGGTGCCTGCTGGTCCTACAATGAGCATATTGTATCTCTCTGTTTAAGGGAAGTTGTGTTTGCCAACTTTTTATTGCTTTACTTAGATTCTCGGCAGTCTTTTTTTAAAAAAAATAACATTGGTAGGAGTTCAAAGGGAGTCGCAGATAAATTATGGTATACCCTTTTGACCCCACAGAAGATTCTCGAGGGCTTGGGAAGTTGTAGAATGGTCATATAAGGAAAGGAGGGTGGGGGGATGTGGACTGGTAGGAAACAAAGGGAGGGTTTGGGATGGTAGAAGGTCTTAGCAGATGGGCTCAAGACAGACTGTTGGAAATAATATCTGGCTATCCTTTGCTTAGATGATCACATTCCTCTCTCAGTGAACTTTTTCTATACCTTCGTGGTCAATTTTCAATTCTATTATCAAAGTGGAGCCATCCCTTCGTTTTTCCTATGTCCTCTTTCTTCTTGGGACCTGGAATGACTCCCCATATTGTTGATCCTAAATCTCCACTGGGTTTTATTTCAGTTTTCCAGCTCAGTGTTTTCTAAAATGCTGTTGGGGACACTCTTCCAGTGGTCTGTAAACGTGTAGAGAAGATTCCTAACAGTATTCTCCTTGGGGGGGAAGATGCTCTCCATTTACTAGGATATGAAAGGTTATTTTTGGTCTTCACTCAGGAAACCTTTTTAACTTGGTTTAACCCAGAATTTGCCCAACTGCATATAAGCACAGAGCACTTCAAAAGTATTGCAGTGTACTGATCCAGAGCATTAACTTTTTGTTGTTTGTTTTTTTTATGTTATTGGACTATTTTTTAGGTTCACAGCATAACTGAGCAGAAAGTACAGAGAGTTAGTAACTACTCACTGCCCTCACACCCCATGAGCACAGCCTCCCCCACGCTGTCAACATTCCATACCACAGTAGTATGTGTTACAAGCATTGAACTTACGTTGACACATCATTATCATCCAAAGTCCAAAATTTACTTTAGGGTTCACTCTTGTTCTCTACATTCTATAAGTTTGGACAAGTGACACGTATCCACCTTTACAGTAGCACACAGAATAGTTCTACTGCCCTAGAAATTCTCTGTGCTGTGCCTATTCATCCTGTCCTTCCCTCTAACCTCTGATCTTTTTACTGTTTCTGTATTTTTCCCTTCTCCAGAATGTCATATAGTTGGAATCATACAGGATGTAGCCTTTTCAGATTGGCTTCTTCCACTTAGTAACATGCATTTAAAGTTCCTCCAAGTCTTTTCATGGCTTGATAGCTGACTTCTTTTTAATGCAGAATAATATTCTGTTGTCTGGGTGGACCACAGTTTATTTATCCATTTATCTAGTGAAAGGTATTTTGGTTGCTTCCAAATTTTAGCTCTGATGAATAAGGCTACCATGTACAGCTATGTGCAGGTTTCTGTGTGGACATGAGTTTTCAACTCCTTTGGGTAAATGCCAAGGAGCATGATTGCTGGATTATATGGTAAGAATATGTATAGTTTTGTAAGGCTGTACCATTTTGCATTCCCACTAGCAATTAACGAGTTCCTGCTGCTCCATGTCCTCACCAGCATTTGGTATTGTCGGTGGTCTGAATTTTGGCCATTATAAAAGGTACATTGTACCCTAGCTGGTTTGATTCAGCGGTTAGAGTGTCGGTCCATGTACTAAAGAGCCTCAGGTTTGATTCCAGGTCAACGGCACGTACCTGGGTTGCAGGGTCAATACCCAGCCCCAGTCAGGGTTGTGCAGGGAATGGGGGTGCAGCGTGGGGGGGGCAACCAATCAATATGTCTCACATCGATGTTTCTGTCTCCCTCCCTCCCTCCCTCTCTTCCACTCTCTAAAAAAATCAATGAAAAAAACATCCTCGGTGAGGATTAACAACAACAAAAAATAAATAAATAAAAGTTCCCTTGCTATTACTTTTTGATTTGATGATTTCTTAAAGTCCTGGGGGCTGTTTGATTGCATACAAATATTATTTATTAGTATCTTTCATGACACAGGCACTACAGCTGGGAGCGTTGACTTTGAAGCCAAACGTAAAGTCTCACGTCTGGCTTCTTCCTCCTCCAGCTGTCTGAGCCTGGACCAGCTACTTTACCTCTCTAGACTTGAGTTTCCCTCTCTGTACAATGGGGTCAAAACTTGTGTCCTAAAGGCTGTGGTGTGGATTCAGCAAGGTGAAGTGCTTAACACAGCCTCTAGCACATGGTCAATGTTTGTTTAAAAAAATATCCAGTAAGTAAGCCCTGGCCAGTTTGCTCAGTGGTTAGAGCGTCGGTCCGTGGACCAAAGAGTCGTGGGTTCGATTCCAATCCAGTCGATGTGTCCCTCTCATGTTGATGTTTCCCTCTCTCTCCCTCTCTCTTCTTTCTTCCCACTCTATCTGAAGATAAATGGAAAAATATCCTCAGGTGAGGATTAAAAAAAATTTTTTTTTAAATCAAGCAAGTTAGGAAATGCTGCTCTCAACACCTTTTGTACCCCTCACAGGCATGGCTAAATGACCCCCCCCCATTTATTTGATCCGTACACCCCTGTCTCCATTTCTATGCTGTAGGCATGGAATGTCCTTAGCTCTAATTACCAAGATTTTTCCCCACTCTGTTTAAACAACTACTGAAATTGCTTTAAGAATTTTTCCCTTATCCTGGCCAATTTGGCTCAGTGGTCAGAGTGTTGGCCCATGGACCAAAGAGTTGCAGGTTCAATTCCGGTCAAGGGTGGGTACCTCGGTTGTGATTCGGTCCCCAGCCGTCGTCGGGATCATGCAGGTGCCAATCAATCAATGTGTCTCTCTTGCATCATTGTTTCTCTTTCTATCTCTCCCTCCCTCCCACTCTATCTGAAGATAAATGGAAAAATATCCTCGGATGAGGATTTAAAAAAAGAATCTTTCCTTAAATTCCTAAATTATTGGAAACAAATTCTTCTTGAATCCTTTTTGTCTAATTTATGATCCTCCCTGACATTAAGCCTCTAAAGATGACTCTATGAGTCTTTGGATCTGTCTGTCCTCTGCATCTCTCCTTTCTTTCTGTTACTTTAGTCATTCCTCTCTCCTCCTCCTCTTTTTCCCTCTACCCTCCTCCTTCCACCTTCCTTTATGCTGTAAATATTTATTGAGAACCTGCCAAGGACCAGGGATTGTGCAAGTTGCTGGACATGTAAACATAATCAAGATGGGCTCTCTGGCCCAGGGAGTGCCCATTTGAGCCGGGATGGCACATGTGGACGTGTGCAGGACAGGACTGCATGGGGTCGCAGCCACTCTGCGGGGGAAGCCTTGATCCTTCATCATTGCTCACCCCTGTGTTATTTCATGCAATGTGCTCAAGTTCACTCGGCTGCTCACATTATCAGTGTTGTCTGTCTGAGCTCTCTGGGAACAGAAATGAAGCCCCTTGTACAGCCAGGGCCTTGGTACCCGGTGATCAAAGATTTACTCCGTGACCTAATGTGCACTGATAATGTAGGCCAGCAAAGAGGGCAGGGCATGCACATATAGACCGCAGAAGATGATTTACATGCAATTTGCAGACTGATACCTTTCTTAATTTTTTTCCAGCTCCTGTCACATATAGAAAAACTTCAAACCTTAATGATAGACAATCTAAATGCAAATAATGTTTTCTACAAGAAAAGGATAGAAGAGCAAGGGCAGAGACTTCAGGAACAGAATGAACCAATTATCAGTCAGAGACAACAGGTATTTTTGGTGATATATCGGCACTGTTTTTCTTGAAGTAGTGCAGTTTATATAAGAAATGTGTTTTTATTTTAGCACATTTGTAAGTTGGCTAAGACAAAGAAGATGGAATATGTTTTTCCCCTATGGTTGTCTGTAAAACTAAATTCAATCAAATAATTTTTTAAAAGGTATTTTAAAATACTGCAGAGAGATTTATTTAATTAGAATTAGAACAAATTTGATAAGAGTTTATTTTAGTAATTACTTTGAGAAGCAGCCAAATCCAAATGCTGCTTCCATGAAACTTTTGTCTCCTTGTCTTTAAAGCCCACGTGTCCTCCGGTGTCCTAGGAGAATTTCATGAGAAGGTTAATTTACTAAGTCTAGTATCTGTTCATTATCCAGTATGTCCCTATCTAATTTCAAACATGCATCCCTAGAAGACTCTTTTTCTTTGCAGATTAAAGAGTTTACCAGCAAACCATCAAACAGTGTCAGTGAACCCAAAGGTAAGTGGACCGGGATCCCAGTGCTGGAGGCAAGGTGGATGTCCCTAACCACGTGCTGGGCATCAGAAAAATGTGGGGCTCTGACTGTTTACGGGTGCTAAGATGGCATTCCTCTGGTTATTTTAATCTGAGAGATTTGTTATCACAGCCCAGAAAGTTGAAGAATTTTAAATACCTAAACTGTTATTGAATGGTCTCCTTTATTCTTTATTAGACTATCGTTATGCACAGTAACCATTTTCCTCTGTACTCATGTGCAGTAGATGGAGTTATGATTCAACAGGCCTGGAGACAGGGCTCAGCTCCCATCTCTGGCACTTCATAGCTTTATGAGTCTCTGCCTCAGTTTCCTCCACTCTAAAGTTGGAATATTAATAATGACTATATCTTAGGCTTGTTACAAGGAGTACATGGGCGAACCTGTGAAAAGTACACCCATTAAACATTCATTAGTGTTAGCTACTGTTACTGCTATTAAAATCAATTATTTTAAAGTACTGTAGAGGCTTACTGCATTATTCTTACTTGCAATTGTTTGGTGCTAAAGGTTTGTACTAAGCACAGTGAGGGCATATGCAGCCTACTAAGTGTAGCAATGATAGCATCCACTTTTGTATCGTTTAAGAGACAGTCTGGATGGGAGACTGGCGGCCAGAAGTACAGGGTCTCACAATAGAACATAAAACTTACCTTTTGCCTGGTCGCCTTCTAAGTGACCTCAGTCTTGTTTTCCTGCACGTGTCAGGTCGTTAAGGCGTCTACTTGAGACTCACTAACTGCAGCTCTGTTTCAGGGGCCTCAGGAAAGACGTTGACCTACCACTTGTTTCCTTCTTGTTTTGAAAGGAAGGCTTAGGAAGGGCTGTGTTTCTCTATAATTTCTCTTTGAATAGTGAGAGTTCAGATAGTGAGGAATACCTGTATGCTTACCTAATAGCATAAATATTGGACCAAAAAGTATTTTTAGGAAAAGTTAGCTTTATAAAGATTTCTGTTAAACATCTTTATTGGGTGAGTCGCTATATGTTAGTAAATGTTGTTTATTATTTTATGTGGGAAAAAGATTAGGGTAAGTGCTGGCAAAATATAACCTATAGCTTGTGACTTTTGTTATTTCAGGGACTCCTTTAACCTGGCAAACTTTTGAATCTAAGCCAACGGCCCAAGCTGTACCTAGTAAGTTTCTATAGTAAGCTCAGGATTCAAAAGATATTTTATCAAGTGCTAAACTAATATATAACTTCTGCTTAATTTTATAGAGTCTTTTCTTTGAAAACCAATGTGTTTGGAGATTACATAATGATTATTTTGATTCCTGGCTTTCACCTAGTTCTAAAACCAAGATTGTAAATATCCACGTGTCTTTGTGGTGATGGGGTTAGCCATTCCTTGATTTTGCAATTCACCTAACACAGGGACGACTACAGATTCTTTGGCATCACTCCAGTCTGTACTTTTGGGTTTCCCAAGGTGACACACTGTGTGAAGATGTGACTGTGTGGTGGCCACCACATTTTGGCCTCACCAGGACTTTCATTGCTGCAGGCTTTGAGCTGATGTTGCCGCTGCCACTCACTCGAGTTCAGCTGAGCACAGCTGTCTCCCGAAGCGATCAGGATTTGGTTATAATCTCAAAAGACATACTCTGTACTGTTTAGAACCAAACAAGTTATTTTCTTAATTTGAGATATTTTTATTTCCAATCAGGAAAGTGTAAGGGTGGAGTGAGTCAGGGAGCAGGCGATGCGGGGCAAGAGAGGACATGCATGTGAACAGGGATCTGGACGTGAGGATGGGGCCTGCACTGAGGTGGGCTCAAAGTGGCACCTTTCATGTGGGCCCAGGTCTGTGCACTGAAGAAAGAACACTGATGAATGTGATTGGGAACCTGGCACCACAGGCCAGAAAATGCTAATGGTTTTACCACTCTTTCGGCTGAGATGCTTCTTGAGTACTCTTGATGTTGCTTTTGGAATCTGAAGAGGTTGAGAGGCGTTGAAGAGGAGACAGTAGTTTAAATGTTAAGAGTAGGGCTGAGGGGAGAGTAGAAGCTGGACTTACATCTTTTTTTTTTTTTCTTTATTGATTTTAGAGAGAGAGGAAGGGAGAGGGAGAGAGAGATAGAAACATTGACGAGAGAGAACATCGATTGGCCACCTCCTGCATGCCCCCCACTAGGGATTTGGCCCACAACCTGGGCATGTACCCTGACCAGAATCGAACCGGTGACCTCTTGGTGCATGGGTCAATGCTCAACCACTGAGCCACACCGGCTGGGCTGGGCTTATATCTTACAAAATAAATAAAACAATACAACCTGGCCAGTGTGGCTCAGTGGTTGAGCATTGACCCATGCACCAAGAAGTCAGCAGTTCAATTCCCAGTCAGGGCACATGCCCAGGTTGTGGGCCTGATGCCCAGTGCAGGGCATGCAGGAGGTGGCCAATCGATGTTCTCTCTCAGAGATGTTTCTGTCTCTCTCTCCCTCTCCCTTCCTCTCTCTCTGAAAAAAAAAAAGAAAAATATTGAACAAAGAAAGAAAACAATACATTTCAGAGAAGGATGAAAGGTTAAAAGGTACTCAGTTGTTGTTCATATTTCATTATACTTGGCGTAACACTGGAACAATAGTGTGTGCCAATAAAACTTTATTTATAAAAACAAGTGTTGGGCTGGTATGTCCCACAGATTTTAATTTTCCAAACCCAGTAACTTCTACTGGTTAAAATTAACCGTCCTAAAATAATCAATATCCCAGTAAGACATATTTTGGGGTGGCAAACTCTGCTTTCCTTCACACAACTCTGAATATACCAATCTATTTAATTGTGTATTTTAAAAGGGTGAATTATATTTAGATAAAGCTATTACTCAGAATTGGTTTTGACTAATATGAAACATTTGTCCATTGTGGTTTGTATATATCTTGACTAGTTTGTGTAGTATTTGGTTATCATCAGGGTCAGATGCTGATGCTTTAGTTATAGAGATTTTTTTTATGCTGTTTCAGTGACTGTCCCAGCCCCACAGACTTTGGATGCTAAGTCAAGTCTAACAATGGCACATGGTAAGTCTCAGCGTTTTATGTGCAGTTTCCACCCTGAGTTAGATAACTTATTAATTGAAAGTGCTTTTCTCCGGGGGTAGTTATGCAAAAGAAAAAACATTTTTGTGAATGCAAAACAGTTAATAAAGCTTCAGTCTTCCTATTTAATATCATAAACTGACTATGCCCACCAAAGCCATAAAGTATAAAATATATGTTAACTTTGAATAGTAATTTCATTATTTAGGATTTTTGGTGGAAAGTAGTAGGTATTAGGTAAGAGGGTGACTTTCTAGACCAGCCAACCAGCACATGCCACAGGGCATATGTGACTGTTTTTATAACTTTCAATGGGGCAGCAAGTCAACATTTTAAAATAAACAGTTTCAGCCATTGGTTGGGAAAAATCTAAGACATGTGATGGAAACCAAAGAAAAAAAAGTAGGAACCACTGGACAGAATTGCTGCCAGGATTCAGTTGTTGGACCAGACCACTGGAGTGATAATTGTTGTTAGCATCATCCAGTAGATAGGGTGAATATTTGTAGCCATATGTTACTTTTATGCAACTAGACACAGTTTTTGTAGTATATCCTTAAATGTGTTATTTTCCTATGGTCTGCTGTAGATTACAAATGAATTAAAATGGGAAGGAACCATCTTTTTCCTGTTTCACCTAATGATTAATTCATTCTACATTTGTTTTTAGACTTAAATTTAATTAGACTTACTTTTAATTAGACTTAAATCCATGATCAGTCGAGTCGAACTTTTTGTCTTCATAAATGTTGTGTTCTGTATATGATGGCCTTTGTAATTGTTGTTTTGACTCACTCATCGCATACTATTGCCCCTTATTATTTTTTTCCCTAAGATTATTTCAGATGGATCAGTTCCCCTGAGCATGTGTTAACAATATGCAATGCAAATTCTGCACATATTGTATGTTATTATTTATGGTTTAGAACATGCAGGGTTTTTTCCCTTTGGACCAGTAACAGATAAAATGTATGTTGGACTTATATAATTTACTTTAATATTGAAATACAAGTCAGTTTTCTCTGTCATTATTCTCTATTCATATTATTTTATATTGGGTCTAGAATTTCTCTGTTGCCTCCTTTTATAAGCAGTCGCTGGCCACTCCTCTCTTGGACTTCAACAGTGTTTGGTTTCTTTTTCTCTACTTGGTTATAGTTAGCTTTCTGTATAACATTATATAAGGTCCACATTTTCTTTTGTTTTATATTTTTGGTTCCTGCCAAAGGACACATATAGTCCACATGCTAAGTTATCTGGGATCAGTCCAAGGGTCCTGACAAATCTGCTGGTTCTGAAGCAGTGTGTTCCATCTGTACCTGCCCTGATTGGGCCAGGGCCGCATGACTCAACCATGCCCTCTTGCTGGCATCTGCTAGGACTGAAATGCTAGTTTTAAATGCCAGCCAGACTTGGCACGGGGCCTGCAAACCTTGGATTGGGATCAAAGCTGATTTGTGAGCATCTCCATGGGCAGGAGCAAGGCGGAACCTTGGCTGGGGATCACTGACCTACCCCCACCCCACCTGTGTGAGCGGTGCCGGGGGCAGTAATCATGTATTGCATAACATTAATTAGCCCGATTACCTCTGTCTTTCCTTTTGTTCCATCTCAAAGCTTGGTGAGGTTCTTTACCACAAGCAATGCCAGGATTACTCATCGCCTTAGGTTGGTTTCCTGAGAAACAGACTCTGAGGGGGGCTTGCAGCAGGGGTTTAGCATGCAGTGCTCTCGACAGCACCTGTCGAGCAGCAGGATTGAGAGATGCGGCTGCAGCGGAGCCCCAGCCGTCTTACCAGGAGCTTTAGGGCCGGGATGGCATTTCTACATTTTCCTGGATTGAGGTGATCAGTTATGGGATGTGGTTTACCCCGGAAAGAATGTGTGTGTGTGTGGTTTGGTGCTGCTCCCTTGAGCTGAGACAAAGCAAAAAGTGGAAGCAAAAGGTAGCAGGAAAGCCCTAGATGTGAATTAATGGTGCAGATGAATTCTCTGGCTGAGCATAGAGTATGCAGAAGAGGTTTGAAGGAAATAAGGTTGGTTGAGACTGTTCATGGCAACCACTGAGCTGACTAGATCTGTTCAGGCCCGTTCCTGCGGCATTGTGTAGCCACAAAATGTTCTGAGGCTGGACAAGGCCGGATCGGAGAGCTGGGCTTCAGGACGCGTAGCTTGACCAGAGTATGTTGAAAGAATCAGAGCTGGGGAGACCAGTTGGCGGTGTTAGTAATAGTCTATGTGAGATTCCTCACCTGGAATCGGGGTATGGTGATGACACCAGAGGGCATGGACCTAACATCTGTTCAGTGGAACTGGTGGAAAGGCTGGACCAGTGATGGGGGCAAGGGTGAGGGCAGGGGCAGGACGTGATGAGTTCAGATGCTGGGTGACGATGGTGCTATTTAGAGAATCTGGAAGACAAACTCAATGAGCACCAGGAGGGAGACGTCATGGCGTTGTGGCCCACTACCTGGACTTGGGAAGCAGGCAGTCTGGATTCGCAGTTGACTCAGGAAACAATAGGCTTAGGTTTCCTTGCCTGCCAAATGGGGAGAATAGTCATGGCTACTTTGGTGAGCTGTAGAGAGGGTCACAGGAGGCAGGGCCTTGGAGCAGGAGCCCCTGAACAGGCACTGGCTAAAAGTTAGCTTGAAGGATGGGGCTGGCGGCCCCCAACGAAGTCAGCCAGTGAGAGGAAGGACTGAGCGTTTCACTTCTGGGGGTAATGGTAGGAAATGGATAGAAGGCTTTTTCTGGAAGCATCCAGCAACTTCAGAGGGGAGACTCAAGCATCTGGGTATTTCAGCTTCATCCTGGAGATCTCAGCTCAGGACAGGAACTGAGACTTTCAGTCTGGACCTGTGGCGTATACAGCACAAGAATGGCAGGCCCTCCCCTCCCCTCTTGGGACATCAGCTTGTTTTGGGAGCTGGAGTCCAGTCGACCTCACTTCCTCAGCCTCTATAGGAGGAGCTCGAGTTCGGGGATCTACCCCTGCCCCAGGACCTTGCCCTGTGCACCACAACAAGAAGAGTCAGGACTTGGGCAGTTTGTCCTGACTCAAGAGAATAAGTCAAAGAATTATGCCTGTAATATAGTGATCATAAATATGCACATATGATTTTTTAAGATTTTATAGAACTTTCCTCATAACCTTACTTTTGTTGTTTTCATGAAGTATATAATAAAATATACACCATGTGACATAAAAATACTGAGATTGATTGTCCTCCTAAAATTTCTATTTTCAGCAGTTCAAACTAGTAACACAGTCTATTTGTGTATCTTTAAATCTTGATGCTAAATAACAAATTTGAAAGCACATGTTTGGTGTTCAGCAGCTGTGGTGCATGGATGGACTTAAATGCTCCTTAGCAGGGCTGTGTTCCTATTTAAAATTAAAGTGGACGCCTACTTACTAATAGTCTGTGTTCCAAAAGTTTATTTGAAAGTACACTTGAAACCTATATGACCCTATTAACCAGTGTCACCCCAATAAATTTAATTTTTTAAAAGTAGTTTAAAATGCATGCCCCCCCCCAAAATGCATGTCTCCCATACAGTCAATGTTAGATATGTTGACTAAGGTTGTTGGCCAAGCTATAAGAGCCTATTTATATATACCTAAATATGACATATATATGTATATATATATTCTTAATTGTATATACCTATATATATGTGTGTGTGTGTGTTTGTATATGCCTAAAATAGAGTAACATAAATACCCTTTAATAAATTAAAAGCCAGACATTTAATGTGGAAAGTATTAAATCTGAGTTAATACATGCAAAACACTTAGATCCATGCCTGGCAACCTGGTGAACACTCAGTAATTGTCGGCCATTATTATTCTCACCTGTCATGTACTCTGGGGTCTGGTGTAGAATGAAATGACCTCTGACCTCCAGGTGCAGGTAGAGAACTCCCTGGGGAGGTGCCCTGTGTCAGTCTGCAAGGTGAGGATGAGTGAACCATGCACCCTCCTAGAATAAACAAGACTTCTTGCTTACATTTCATTCCATGTCTAATGCCTGCCTGACTGCCATGGTTAGACCTCACCCTAAACCTGACCTTCCCCAAAGAGGAACTTAGTCTTTGTTGATAGAATGGGGTTTGGCTTTATCCATGCTGTGAGTTTCCTTGTGTCTGCACAATAACCTTTCCCTGGCAGTCAGTCACCCAGACGCCTCATCTCCCCGCCACCAATCTGGGGTGGGGTTGGGAAACGCCCCTCTTCATCTCTCATTAGTCTGCAGCCTGGCCCTGGTGCCTCTCAGAGCAGAACTGAGTCTTGAAATGTGGCCTAGGGACATGGAGGTATTCAAGAATGGGTCTTAGTCCTGTGCCGACCCTAGGGCCACCTGTCCTGGCCCTTTATCTTCCTGGTCCTACCACTCGAAGGCTCATGAGAAGTGGGAGTCCCAGAGCCCTGGGAATTTTTTATATTCTTATCTTTGGGAATTGAAATATTTTCAGTAATTTTCTATTTAGCTACCCAGTCCAGTAGGGTCCTTGTGCACTAAAAGAATCATATCAGGCACGAGGTTGATGAATGCGAAATGTTAACTTCATTATTTAAAAATATAATATCCTGAGAGTGGAGTTAGTGGAAGATACATAGAAAGAGAAGATACCATGAAAAAGTGAGCAGCTTTAACTGACTGCCTCAATATTTTTTCCCCCAGTAAATTCTTGCTCTTTTAGACATGATTAAAATACTATGGAACTATACCTTTCCAAATTGTTTGAAAATAAACTAATTTTACTTTGCTGTTGTCCTGTCTGTACTATTCTTATTTCTCCTCATTAATAGAACAGGCATTCTCATCGCACATACTGGAACCAATAGAAGAACTTTCAGAGGAAGAAAAAGGTAACCAAGGGCTTGATCAGGGTTTATACCTGCACAGATTATATTTAGATGCTAAAATCCAGGCCTTGACAATACGACCCAGTGGTTTTTAGCACACTATGTCAAAATTAGGGAAGATGTTTAGGTTTGGATTATATTCTATTTTCAGTCTTACTCCCCTAATATGCTGTTATGTTCTCCCTGTGCTTTATTGTATTCTTAGCACATGAGTAACTTCCCTGTGTCAGGGAATTCCGAAGAAAATTAAGCCTTTATGTCAGTGCAGATGTTTTCTGATCAGATGACAAATTGACACGTGCTGTGTGCCAGATGACACACAAATATTCGTATCACAGTAATTATTTCTCAGCCTCTGAATCTGTGAAATGATGGGTGAAGTACCCACCCCCAAAATTGTTTTTAATAGAAAGGAAAGCATAGCATTTAAGCTGTGACTGTGGAACATTTATGTGCAGAACAATGTTTTTGGTGGAATTTGGGAACTAGTACAGGTTCGAAGAGATAGTTAAAATATTATTTACTGCCTACTCATTTTGCTTGGCAGTTCTAAAAATTATTTTCTAGCAATTAATATTTGAAGCTTATGAAAATTATTTTACATTATCAAGAGTATTTTCTAATGCTCGACTTGTAGTTTCTAAAACAATTACATTTGAATCAGTTTGTCATATTTTTCTCCTTGGTAATAATAATGCTTTATCACACATCACTTCTTTAGGAGAAAACAAATTGTTAATATGAGCTCTGGTTTTGTCATTTTTGTTAGGAAGAGAAGTAAAATATATTCTAATATGTAAAGCACTACTATTTTTATAACTTCTTCTGTGTTCTATAGATTTTATCCAAAAATTTTTAACAAGTCTACAAATTGAGAAGTGACTAAATCATGATATCTATAATGTCTATATGAGGCGTATTTTCACTTGACTTTCTAGTAGCGTGCTTTCTTTCTCTTACATATCATTCATTGATGTCTAGAACACAAAATATCTTATTCTCTGAAGAATTCATGAAATGTGTCAGGAGGTTCATAAAAAAGATCCAAAATTTTGAAACTGTGGCCTCAGGTCATATAGTTCACCCACATTTAAAACACGAGTCGGCTAGATTCCAAGAGGAATCCATTTGTCCACCATCACCACTTCGGTTCCAGGTTCCTCCCACTGCATCACTCTGCCCGTGTTTCTTTTAGCATTCTTCTGCCCAGAAAACATGAGGCGTGAGTTTGGGATCATTGTCGGCAAGCACCATCACTGATTGTTGCCACATTTGGGGAATCAGTGCGAAAGAACATCTTCGCTACCATCCTTGAGTTCCTACACCGTTCCAGTAGGAGGTAGTACTGAGAACCATCAATAACTCCCTGGAGTCCGAATTACAGAAACAGTGACCACATCCTTCCAGTGCCTCTGCAAAGCCAGCAGCAGATTCATTGCCATCAATAAATTCTTCAGCTTGTGCAAACATTTTGTGGATAATGCATGTGCAACTAATCTAATGCCTTAGGCAGTGGTTTGCAAAACACTGGCTATTACCAAGAAGTAACTCATCGGGAAGACAGTGTCTACATCCTTGCTTATTGACATGTGTGTCAAGGCATACTACTTAATCTTGCTGTTCATGAAGTGTTAGCGTGTGAGGGCCAGGAGGTGGTGTTAGAGGCCATTTTGTTATTCAGAAACTTGAAACAGGGATTAGGAGCTTGCTCCAAGTCATTGAGTTTAATTAGTGACGGCTGAAATTAAGTCCAAGTTTTCTTCTTTCCATAGTTTACTACAAAGAACAAAGTGGGGGAAGTCTCTTCACCTCTCTGGTTTTGATCCTTGTATGAAAAATGAGGAGGTTCATTACTAGATGATAAAGTCCTTTCAGGCTCAGAAATTCTGCTTTTGTTTTTGCTTTTCACTGTTTGCCTTGTGCGACAATTATTTGCTTACCATAAATGCTATGTTGTACGTCTGACAAGTGACCATGTGCATGGGCTCCTGTGCACTGGCCGTATGCTTTCGTACGCTTTCACGTTTGCAATTAGAGGAAGTGCTAAAGTTTTGTTTTGTTCATCTTGGTGAGCAATACATGCTTCAACTAAAATCTTCATCTGTTGGTTTTCAAGTGATTCATTCCATCTTGATGTAAAGACTTGATTGTCAGTCTTTTTGCCTGTCCACTCTATATTCTTAATCTTGTTCTGTCGGCCAGCTCCAGCTTTCTCAGAGTCTTTCTAACCAAGGGTTTTCTAATTATTCATAAATGGCTTTCCAAAGCCAGTCAACATATAAAGTGAATTTGAGGACAGAAGGAAATGTTTAATCGGCGGTCATTGGGGAAACTGAGTCACCAAAAGGAACTTGTCATCATGGTTGAGGGTGAACTGGATCAATCAATAACTGAATTCAGTGACTGCTATCGAAGACCTTACAACTCTTCTGAACTGTGACCAAGCCATTCTAGGCATCGCTTAACCCTTGCATGTCCCCTTACATCCCGAACAGACAGGGCCCAGAACGTTTCTTCAGGCTATGTTTTTGTGCAGTTCCTTTCATATCCCAGATGTCGACCAAAAAAATGATCTCTGCATAATCAGAACAGGAGGTGCTTGTATTTCATTGGTAGCACCATGACTTCCAGACTGTCTCTTGGAATCTCCTTTTATTTTTAGCCCTAGATACTTGTAGACTTGGTGGCTAACTAGCAGCCAAACCCAGCAACACAGCCAAGGTGTAGCTAAGCCCTCTAGATTATGATGTATTTTTCATTTCTAGGATAGAAGTGCTTTTTTGGGGGGAGGGGGGGTTCAGAACACTGGAAAACATTGGTTGGGAAAACAGTAGCATATGTGCTGAGAACATAAAATGTAAGATTACTTCTGACTTTAAATCATATAAACTGTTATCATTTTGATTTAGCAAACTGCAGTGGCACAGTATAGAAAGCATCATCGTGCAGGGTTTTCCCTTCCATTTAATGTACAAATAGTAATTTGATAATTTTGCTGTCAGGAAAACTATTAACAGACAATCTTTACTACTGGAATTGAACTAGTGTTTAGAAAACATCTTAACCAAAGGCATTTTGTTTAAGATCTACAAATCTAAGTGCCATGGGTACCTAAAAATCCCACCCACTGAGGCGGATGAAGCCTGGGGAAAATGGAGTGTCTGTGGGGTCAGCCTGCAGCCCCCCACCCAGGCAGTGGCGTTCAGTGCCACCCTTATTAGGTGAGAAGCCCCAGTTCAGAAGATCAGGCTCCAGAATGATAGTACTGTTGTGTTTGCCGAGATCAGCCTTTGGACCTTTCCTGAGGGTCCGGACTGCCCGGCCCCGGGTCTCTTTCATCAAGCTTTCAGTTTCCTCTGACACAGGACTCAGTGCTTCAAGGTCATGTGGTTACACCCCTTCTCCAAACTCTGTTGAATCAGACATTATTTTAGTGGGGGAATAAAAGAGAAATAGGGGAGGAAAAGTTAGAAGAACCTGGCCTGTTATTTTTTTCTTTGTTTTAAATTATAGGTTGTTTTAAACAAAGCATACTTTTTCTAAGACTTGTGTTAACTTCTTTTTCATTTTGGTAAATATTTTAAGAGGGATAATTTCACATTTTGAAATTTTATATGAACTTAACTTCTAAATTTATTATATAAAAACTTAATTATTCAAAATAAATTGAGCTTTTTCTTCATAAAATAATACATAAATTCTCATTGAATTTAGAAAATGAATTATTCAGAAAGTAATAAAATAATTTTAGAATAAAACTTTAAACTTTTATATTATTTTTTTTCATTGTGCTTCCTTAGAGACATATTTCTTGCATTATTTACCTAGATATAATTCGATTAAGGGATCAAGAAACTCTTTAAAGATGGTTGAAGTTTTGAAGTCAACTCGAGAACATTTTAAAAGCTCTAGTGCTTAATTATTATATATTGTGGTGAATGACTAACATATCCAAAAACTGAAAACATTACACATGCTGTTTAAAAGTTGTGTTTTTATCATTTTCTACTAAGACATTTAATGTATTTTTAAAATTGTTTTTTAACCTTATTTTTTTGAAACCTTATTTCAGGAAGGGAAAATGAACAGAAATTAAATAACAAGAACCATTTCAGGAAAGCTTTAAAGAATAATCCCTCTCTCACTAAGAAAATAAGAACAATCTTGGAGCAGAGTTTGGTGCGGAAATTGGAAACCTTGGGGATTAATGCAGTAAGTTTATTTATTTTTGAAATATTTGCAGGTTTTGTTGTCTAAATAAGAAAAAAATCAGAGAAGAGAAGAAGGCATGTCAGTTCTGTTTACATTAGGAGAGAGGAGGTTAATGCACCTTTCTAAGAGCTTCATGGACATAACTCATTTAAACATAGAAATCTTTGAGGTAAGTGACAGTATTACTCCATTCTACAGAGGGGTTAAGTAACTTGCTTCAGCTCACAGTTGGCAATGAAGGAGCCAGGGTTTGTATCTAGGCAATTGCAATGTGTCTTACATTCTACTATTAACGTCAAAGTATTGCCTATTACAAAATCAGCACATAAGCAATACTTGTTAAATGAATGGATGAATGAATTATATTTCATGTTTTTGTCAGATTGAATAATTCTAGTACATGTTATATGTACTCTTTGCTTTTTACATTTTTTATTGATATACACAGAATATATAAATCTTAAGGGAACAATTTGAATTTATATACCTATATGTATGCATTTGGTTGCATATGTATGTGTGCATGTATGTTTGTATATGCAAAAGTACAGGGGTGGACAAAAGTAGGTTTACGGTTGTGAGTATGCGATTATTCTTGTATTATTATTTATTATTGTAGTATTTTCCATGCAAACAACTGTAAACCTACTTTGCCAACCCCTGTATATGCATACATGCATGCACATGGTGTGTACACATGCATGTGTGTATGCACATAAGTTGTGTACATACATGTGCACATATGTGTGTATGGATGTGTATAGTGTTTGTATAAATAGGTCTATATGTACACATGTGTATCTATTTGTATACGCGTGTGTGCAGATATATATATGTACATGTGTGTATGCACATATGTATTCCTGTATGTATATATGTATACATATGTGTGTATATTGATTTGTATGTATGTGTCTCTGAGAGTGTGTGTGTGTGTGTGTGTGTGTGTATGGACTATAACTACCACCCAGATCAAGAGATTGATCATTTTCAATACCCTAGAAGACTCTTTTGCTTTTCCTCAGTCAATATCACCCCTTATTTTTCAAAGAGGTATGGCTATTCTGACTTAATTTTATTTGTTCTTGAACCTCATGTAGTGTTTTTGTTTTGTTTTTTTAATTTTTTATCCTCACCCAAAGACATTTTTGCACTTATCCTCAGATAGAGCAGGAGGGAGAGAGGAAGGAAGAGAGAGAGAAACATCGACATGAGAGAGACACATCGACTGGTCGCTACCCACACAACCCCAACCGGGGCCAGGGACAAACCACAACTGAGGTACAAGCCCTTAGCGGAATTGAACCCGGGTCTCTCTGATCCATGGGCTGAAGCTCTAAGTGCTGAGCCAAACCGGCCAGGGCTCATATAGCGTTTTGTATATGACTTCTTTTGCTTATGATTTTGTCTATGAGATTCATATCTGTTATTTCACTTAGCAATTGTTTGTAGTGTAGTATTTTATTGTCTGAGTATGCTACATTCTATCTAGTCTCCTGTTGATAGACATTTGGATATCTAATTTGGGGCTCTTTTTGAACATTACATTCTTATACATGTCTTTTGGTGGACATAGGCATTCCTTTCTTTTAGACATCTCTGGGAATGAAACTACTGAGTCTTAGAGTATGCATGTTTTGTTTCAGTGGGCATAGCCAAATAGTTTTTCAAGTGTTTATACCAATTTACACTATCCTTATCAGTGCATGGGGGTGTCAGTTGCTTCACATCTTTCACCAACTCTTAGTGTTGTCAGTCTCTTAAATTTCTACAGATTCTTTCCAGGTGGGTTTTGACCACCCTTAGGGCAGTGGAAATCAAACACATTCATGAATGTCAGTAGTTTTCATGTTGGTTATTTGCATATGATTTAGGGGTTTTATGTTCTATTGGGGACATTTTCTTTCATCCTAAGATTATAAAAATATTTCTTTTTTTTTATTATTTTTTTTTTATCCTCATCCGAGGACATTTTTGCATTTTTTGTACAGACAGAGTGGGAGGGAGAGAGAGGAAGAGAGAGAGAGGGAAACATCGATGTGAAAGGGACACATCGAGTGGCCGCCACCCGCACGACCAACCAGGGCCGGGGACAAACTGCAACCGAGGTACAGGCCCTTAGCGGGAACCGAACCCGGGTCTCTCCGGACCGCAGGCGGACGCTCTAACCGCTGAGCCAAACCGGCCAGGGCAAAATATTTCATTTTTTAAATCTGGATTTTAGCAATTAAGTTTGGAAACAGTAGTGAGTTGGAGATCTAATTTTATTTCCAGCTGGATCATTTGTCCCAAGATCATTAATTGCATAATATATTCTTCCCCGATATATTTGAAATGGCACTTTTGTCATATATGAAATTCTTGTGTACATTTCAATTTCTTTTTACTTTCATTTGTTTTACCCTGCCTTTTTGTATTCCTTTGCCAGCAACACACTGATTTAATTGCAGTAGCTCTGTCCTGTATTTTAATAGGCCATGCCTTCTTCATTAGTCTTATTTTAAAAAAAATTTAGTTCTTCCATATTTTGTTTTCCAGTAAACTTTAGAAACAGCTTCTGCAGTTCCAGAATAACCCCTATTGGGATTCTGATCAAAATTGCCCTAAATTTTATATAATTAAATTTTGTGTACTAATTAGAAAGGATTGACATCAGTAGAGTACTGGGTGTTTCCATTCAGCTACAGGGTATAGGAAGACAGGCATTGAACAACTGCTCAACAGACAGATGGTAGATCCATAATGATTGATTGTAGGATGTGCAATGAAGGAAAAGAAGAGAGGATAGAATAACGGAGGTCAGAGAAAACTTCTTAGAGGTAGCACTTGACCTGGTGATGGAAATTTCTTTCAGGGCAACTAAGAGGATGATGGTGGGGTCACTTCCTATAACAAAAGACAGGGGGAAGGGCTGGGGAGACAGGATATGAGAGTGTGTATGACACTGTTATTGAATAAACAGCCCTTTATTTATTTTATTATTTTTTTTAGTTCTATGGTTTATCTCTTTCCTCCCCCCCACCCCCTCTTCTGAGGGTTGTCAGTCTGTACCCTACTTCCACGTCTCTGGGTCTATCCTATTCCTCAGACTGTTATGTTCATTATATTCCACAAATAAGTGAGATCATATGGTATTTGTCTTTTTCTGCTTGGCTTGTTTCACTTAGGATAATACTTTCCAGGTCCCTCTATGTTGCCCCAAAGGATAAGAGATCTTTCTTTCTTACAGCTGCATAGTATTCCATTTTGTATATGTACCACAGCTTTTTTATCCATTCATCTACTGATGGACACTTGGACTGTTTCCAGATCTTAACTATTGTAAATAGTGCTGCTACGAACATGGGGGTACATATATTCTTTCTGATTGGTGTTTCAGGCTTCTTAGGGTATATTCCTAGAAGTGGGATCACTGGGTCAAATGGAAGTTCAATTTTTCATTTTTTGAGGTAACACCATAGTGTTTTCCATAGTGGCTGCACCAGTCTGCATTCCCACCAGCAGTGTACTAGAGTCCTCTTTTCTCCATACCCTCACCACCACTTGTTGTTTGATGACTTGTTGATGGCGGCCATTCTGACAGGTGTGAGGTGATACCTCATTGCTGTTTTAATTTGCATCTCTCTGATGATGAGTGATGTTGAGCATTTCTTCATATATCTCTTGGCCATTTGTATGACCTGTTTGGAGAGGTGTCTATTTAGGTCCTCTGCCCATTTTTTAATTGGGTTCTTTGTCTTTCTTTGGTTGAGTTGTAGAATAAACAGCCCTTTAGTTTTATTCTGTCTAAATTTTCATCAAATCCAGATAAATTTTCTCAAATTACCTCTTTAATTATTCTATTTTCATAATTGAAAACCTCTGATGACTTTATTTTACTTGTGGAATAATCTTTAACTTTTCATTTTGGCATTCAGTCTCCTTTTCTGATCCCCTCACCCATTCCTTTGTGGCATTAGCAACTGGACATGCTTGACTATTTCTGCTCTAATACCTGCCTTTCCCACAAGGTGCCCCCATCCCAGTTCCTACCCATCTAAAATACGACCTGTTTCTACTTGCGTGACTCTGCCCATCCTTCAGGTCACAGGCAAGTCTTAAGCCTTCATTGGCCACTGAGGCCTTCGATAGCCTCTCTCTGTGGAACCCCTCAAGCCCTTATGGACTCTTCTGGTCCTTTTACACACTTTGCATTGTTAGTTAATCAGTCATATGCATTCATCACATGTCTCACATGCCTACTGCACTGTGAGCTCCCTTTGGGACCTGCACATTATGTTATATATTGGGGCATCCTCCACCTTACATGCAGCAGTAAGGACTAAAGGTTGGAACAGTTAATGCTGACAAATGTCCATGAAATGAAAAACGTCCCAGGATAATTGACTAACTTAATATTTGATTCCTTCAGGATACACGCGGTATTCCAACTGATCAACTGAATAGAGTGCTAAGAACCATGGAATCAAAAAGACACACTCAAGAAAGACAGATGCCTAACATTCAGCAAATTCGAGAACTCCTTGAACATCAGGTCAGCTATAAAATTGAGGAGAGAACATCACTGTCTTTAGGTAAGGCTGTTACTAAATGCCATTTCATTTCTGTAGATGGAGACGAAATTGAACAATCTTTGCATGATTTTAAATGGTTCACAACCTTTCCCACTTAATTTGCAACTTATTACTGTTGGAAACATTATATGTCGGATTTTTAAATTTTATTTTTACATTTAAAAGAAACCCTGTAGTTAGGCTCTAGACCCAAGAGATGGGCTTGTTCATTTCAACAACAGCATAGACAGTATTATAGTCTTTTCTTCTGCTTTTCATGCAATGAAGACTCACAAATGACACTACTATTCCAGATAGGTGCAGTGCTTCTCAAGTGGATGCTCTTTCAACTGGAGAAGTAGCCAAAGCAGTACAACTTCCTCCCAAAAGCAGACAATTGGTTAGACAAAGACCTGTTTTCACCGATAGAACATCTGTTCCAAAGTGAGTATTTTCCAACCCTAAAACTTGTTTTCATTTCTGACTCCTCACCCGAGGATATGTTTTCATTTATCTTCAGATAGAGTGGGAGGGAGAGAGAGAGAGAAACATCGATGTGAGTCACATCGATTGGTTGCCTCCTGCTGACCCTGACCAGGGCCTGGGACAAACCACAGTCAAGGTACGTGCCCTTGACTGGAATTGAATCTTTGGTCCATGGTGTGGCACTCTGACCTCTAAGCCAAACTGGCCAGGGCCCAACCCTACAATTTTTAATTAATGTTCATCTTAGTCAGCTTGAACTGCCATAACAAAATACCATAGACCTAGTAGCTTAAACCACAGAGATTTCTTTTCTCACACTTCCGAAGGCTAGACGTCCAAGATCAGAGTGCCAGGCTCGTCGCTGAGTTCTCTCCCCAGGCTTGCGGAGGGCTGCCTTCTGGCTGTGTCCTCCCCTGCAGGGCGAGTGAGCTCTGGCTTCCCTTCCTCTTCTCATAGGGATACTAATCCCCTCGGGTTAAATTACATCACCCCTCATTCTGTTCAGAAATAGTCTTCTCTTGTTTTTCAGAATTAAGAAAAATATCACTGAAGATCATCTTCCCAGAAAGTCTTCAACTATTACGTGAGTTCTTGGGTCGGGAGAGGTTATTTAAAAAATTCTTTTTACTGAATATCCTTTTCATTGTAAATTAGTATGCTCGTTGTGGTTAACAAAAGCCCTAATTATTAAATATCATAATTAATTAGTTATTCCTTGGTGACGTTTCTTTGTTTCTTTATTAGTTATTACATAATGTAATAGTACTTATGACATTGTGGCCTCCATTAAGAAGTGGGATCACCCTGAGTCATTTCCGTTATCCCCCTCCATGTATAGTAATTCTTAATAAGCTTGATAAATTGAAGGAATGATGTTGACTTTTAGTGACTGGATCCGTGCTGGTGTGGTCAGATGATATTTTAGCATTCTAAGGCTTTCTTAGGGTACTAAGAACCCTAGCTCAGTCACTTATTAACTGTGTGCCGTTGACTCAATTGTGTACCAGTTTTAAGCCTCAGTGTTTGTTTATTTAAATATTTATTTATTTATTTATTTATTTATATTAGGGAGAGAGGGAGAGAGAGAGAAAGAAGCATTGATGTGAGAGTAAAACATTGATCAGCTGCTTCCTGCATGCCCCCTGTTGGGGATGGAGCCTGCAAGTGGAGCATGTGCCCTGACCGGAAATTGAACAAAACTGGCGACCTTTTAGTGCACAGGATGACACCCAACCCACTGAGCCACACCGGCGAGGGCTAAGCCTCAGTTTTCTTCTCTGTAATGTGGGGTGATACTGCCTTTTCCACAGGGTAGTCCTATAATTTAGCATGAATATATGAAAAGGGGTTGGTCTCAGTACTTGGCACTGTGGGTACTCAATAAATTATAGGTATATTATTGTTATTGATTATGAGGAAAACTAATTTTATAATTGAATTTCATCATCATTGACTTATTCTAGAGATATTGATGCTATAAATCTCTTCATTGAGGCCTTATGTGTATATATAGTAGAGACAGTAGAAATATTATATAGTAGAGACAGTATAAATGATGATACCCTTCAAACGTACTTTTTATGTACATAATCTTATAGGAAGAGCCTTATTTCATGAGACATAGTATAACTAAACAATGTCTGAAATTTAAGTGCTCAGTGAATATTTTTTAAGTGAATAAACACTGTTCCAAACTTTTATTTCACTTTATTATTTTTTTAATCCTCACCTGAGGATATTTTTACATTTATCCTCAGAGTGGGAGGGAGAGTGAGAGAGAGAGAAACATCGATGTGAGAGAGACACAGCGACTGGTCGCCACCCACACGACCCCAACCAGGGCCAGAGATGAACTGCAACCAAGGTACGTGCCCTTGGCCGGAATCAAACCCAGGACTCTCTGGTCTGCAGGCCAACGCTCTAACTGCTGAGCCAAACCGGCCAGGACCTATTTCTCTTTAAAATGGGGTGACAATTCCTGTGATAATACAGACATGATTGTAAAAGCACTTTGTAAGATGGAGTGTAAAGGTAAGTTATAAACAATGACACTATTTCAAAAGGTGGAGTAATTTTACTGCCGAATATATTTTGTATCCCACTGAGAAATATTTTTCTTAGGTATGTGAAAACCAAGATGTTAAGAATATGCAAGTTTGGATTTAGAGGAGAATTGTCATAACTTTGGTAAATATGCCAAACGGTTGGCAGGTCTGGATTTGAAATGACTCGTCAACCTTTTGCATGAGTCTTGGGCCTTGCCACTGTCTTGTTCTGTGGCCACACTGGCGTGTTTGTTATGCCCCCTGAGAATTACCTGGGCAAGTTCCTACCACTTTAAGAGGCATATCATTTGTAAATCCTGAAACGTCTGAAAACAGCATCCCCTGTTTGGGTTTTGATTTGCTTAGGACGCCTCCCTTTAGTTCAGAAGAAGAGTTGGATGCTGGCGACCTCGTCCAAGCCTACGTGTCCCCAGACTTTCTTCTTGTGCAGTCATGTAAAAACAAGAGTAGCTTCGGAAGGAAAACTGTCAAAAGTGACACTGACTTGACCGAAGGAAGTGAAATTGATGACTCTGACATCTCTCCCAAGCCCACAGGTGAGCTTTTATCGTTGGAAATCCTTTTGGGAATGTTGTTTAAGGCAGTGGCTCTCGACCAGGGGCACCAGGGGCGGGCAGTCCGAGCTGGAAACGTGCTCGAGGAAAGGATAGGGCTCATCCAGAAGCTGCCACCGCCTCGGGAAAATGGACTTGGCTTAGCAACGAATTTCTATTCAAGTGGAAGGAGAGGAAGGAGTCAGAGAAGCCTAGGTGTGTTAGTCTCCTAGGGCTGCTGTAACCAGGTACCACACACTGGGGGGCTTAAACAGATTAAATGTACTGTCTCAGAGTTCAGAGGCTGGAAGGCCAAAATCAAGGGAGGCAGAGATGGTTCTTTCTGGGGCTGTAGGGATCTGTCCCATGTATTTCCTCTTGGCTTGTGGATGGCCATCTTCCTGTGTATCACCACATTGGTCTCTCTCAGTGAGTGCATCTGTGTCCAGATTTCCCATTCTTGTAAGGTCACCAGTCATGTTGGTTTAGGGCTCACCCTAATGGCCTCACTTAAATTCAATTATCTCTCAAAGGCCCTATGTCTAAATAAGGTCACATTCTGAGGTCCTGGGGTTAGGACTTCAACATATGAATTTGGAGAGACACATTTCAACCATAAAGCTGGGTGGCCGTGAGAATGGCCGTTCTAAAACATTCTGCTGCCTTTTGGACACGGGGCAATTCTAAAGGGAATGTAAGGTCCAAGTCTGTGACTATTGTTAATTTGCTGAAGAGAAGTGTACTTTAGGTTCACTTTTTTAGAAATAGCCATTCTGTTTAATGTAATTTTTAAAATATATTTTGCCCGGCCAGGTGGCTCAGTTGACTGGAACATTATCCTGTACACCAAAAGGTTGCAGGTTCCATCCCCAGCTGGGGCACATATGGGAGGCAACCGATCAATGTTTATCTCTCTGTCTCTTCCTTCCTCTCTCTCTAAAATCAATAAAAACATATCCTCAGGCAAGGATTAAAATATATTAACCATATCAGATGTAATTAGTTTATTGTATATAATTTGTGTGTGTGTGTGTGTGTGTGTGTATAATTGTGTAAACTATAACAAATTCATTTAAAATAATGTTGTTTTTGCAAAAACTCATATGAATAGTCCATTCATGCAGGTTACCTCACTGAAATTAAAGTTCTGATCAGTACTTGAATGAGACCATCTCTCTTTGATTTAAAATGAACATTTTATTGCTTCTTGTGTAGAGGATCATTTTTTTAAAGGAATTATAACTATTTAATGTAATATTTTTAACCCACAAAATACATCAGTTGAGTTTAATAGTACATAATTATTTACAAAGCTTAGACTCTTTCGGAGTTGCTTGTTAGGTTATGTTAGAACTGAAAATAGATACAAGTTTTTTTAAAACATTACCTATTTTCTATTGGTCATATAGGAACCTCCATCAAAACATTAACTGAAAAAGTTGAAAAGACAGTTTCAAATCAAAGAAATGTGAATAAGCCAGTTGGTGGGATTAATGTTGCTGAGGCGTTCATCAAAAGAGAACTAAAAGAAGAACTGAAGGTGAAATCACTTTTACTTGCTAAACATACATAGAGAACTTCATCATAATTTTATTTTTTATAGTGTATAGGTTGAAATTTTTACCTTTTCTTGTTTTCAGTATTGCCTTTCTTTCCATTCCATAGAGAATCAAAGACAGTGGAATGATAACTGGTAATACTACGTCACATGCTTTTCAAACTCGACAGCTTTTCAGAATCCTGTCCTGTATATGACTTGAGGCTTGCAGATATTAGATGGTCTGTACACAGAAACTTGTGACTGCCTGGTCTGGGGCCTCTAGATCCAAGTCCAGGGACTTTTCTGCTACCACGGTGTGACCTGGAAGTAAAATAGGGACTTTTCAGGGGTTAGCCCAACTTGGGCAGTCAGTGGAGAAGTCCTTCAGAAAGATGTGTGAACCGAGTGGAGGGCCCGGCCTGAGCTCTTCTGCCCGAAGAGGAGAGGCCCTAACACGTTCCGAGCAGTCCAGCACCCAGGGCACCAGGAGGATGTCTCCCACTGTATTTTTGGGCACGGCTCATGTGTTTAAAGGTTCCAGTAGATGTCATTCTTTGCTTAATTTTTCACTTTCAACTATGAAATCGAGAGCATTCTGTCGTACTACTTTTATTAGTTAGTGCTATTTGTGTTACGCAAGCCAAATGTGACAAAAAGCAAAAAGCTAGGTATTTCAAGGCAGAGCTCATGGGCCTCCCGCAGGAGGGGTGTGGTAGACACACGTGTGGTTAGGGGCTGTTTCCGCAGGGCCCTCCTGTGGATTAAATGTCATTATCACAGATAAGAGCTCCAAAGCCACCCTAACTCTTACTTTGGGGAGCATCCTAACTTTATTTCTAAAATGTAGTGTTTCTAGAGTTTTCTAAATTCATGATTGGTAGAGTAGGAAACATACATTTCTTTGGCAACAAACGAAAAAAGAGGTTTTTCCCTTCTGTTTTCAAAACACAGATTTTTAAAATTTCATTTTATTTTTTTATCCTCACCCGAGGACATTTTTCCATTTTTTGTTCGTATAGAGTGGGAGGGAGAGAGAGAAAGAGAGAGAGAGACACACACACACATCGATGTGAAAGGGACTCATCGAGTGGCTGCCACCCGCACGACCCAACCAGGGCTGGAGACAAACTGCAACCGAGGTACATGCCCTTAGTGGGAACCGAACCCTGGTCTCTCTGGTCTGCAGGGCCAACGCTCTAACCGCTGAGCAAAACCGGCCAGCGCCATTTCATTTTTTTAATTCTCACCTGAGGGTATTTTTCCATCTATCTTCAGATAGAGCAGGAGGGAGGGTGGGGGGAGGGGGGAACATCGATGTGAAACAGACACATCGATAGGTTGCCTCCCACATGCCCCCAACCAGGGCCAGGGACCAAACCACAACCCAAGTTTGTGCCCTGGGCTGGAATCAAACCCGAGATTCTTTGGTCCACAGGCTGAACCGGCCAGGGCTAAAACACAGATTTCTAAATTCATTTCCTTGCCTTCCAGAAATGACCACAGCAGGGATCCTCTGAGGTTCCCAGCTTCTTATCATTCAGTGTAGCAGCTCAGTCTGGCCGACAAAATGATTGAGGGGCTCTAACATGTGCTGCTTCTCTAAGGAACATGTATCTCTTCTAGTGCTCCGATGTGGAGGATGACGACTGGGACATATCATCCTTAATAGATGAAAAATCGTGGAAAATAACTGGGAAAGAGCAGAGAGAACCTCCTGTGAAGACTGAGTCACATTCAACCCAAGTGCCAACTGCCTGGGGCGCACCTGTTCTCAGAGGGCCAAAGAGAGAAGGTTTGCTACTTTGGTGTCCTGCGGAAGCTCGGTCCTTTTTCCAGTAGTGTTTCATCTTTATAAATCTCTAATTCAGTTATGCTAATATATCATCAACAGAAACACTCTGTTGGCTTAACCAAGACCTTGATACTTTATGTTATTTTAATAAGGACTGAATGTGTATGAGTTACTGATTTATGTATATTTACTAATTATTTTTATTTCATTTTAGGCCTAATCTTTTTATTTAAATTTTTTGTTATTTTTTAAAATGCCCTTGTAAATATACTCTTCATGCAGGTGCCCAATAGAAATGAACATTTCTGATCATGTACTTGAATGAAGCCATTCTTCCTGTATTACTCTGTTTATGTGTTAAGTATTATTATTTTCTTTGAAGGAAGATTTCCCTTGTGGCACTGTGGCCAGTGGAATAAATGACAAATGAAACCTTTAGTAGAAATTGTTTCTGGATAAGTCCTAGAGTCTACATAAATCCAGTAACTTAACTCTCAATACATTGCTTTTTTAAAATTAGAAAATATAATTTATATATATTTAACATGTTTTATTGATTTTTTAGAGAGAGAGAGAGGAAGGGAGAGAGAGATAGAAACATCAGTGAGAGAAAGAAACATTGATTGGCTGCCTCCTACACGCCCTCTACTGGGGAATGAGCCCACAACCCAGGCATGTGCCCTGACCGGGAATCGAACTGAGACCTCTCAGTCCATGGGGTAACACCAATCCACTGAGCCACACCAGCTGGGCTATCATTTATATTTTTTATCAGAGTAATTCTTTTTTTTTTTAATCCTCACTCGAGGACATTTTTCCATTTTTTATTCTGATAGAGCGAGAGGGAGAGAGAGAGAGTAACATTGACATGAAAGGGACACATCGAGTGGCTGCCAACCACATGACCCAACCAAGGCTGGGGACAAACTGCAACCAAGGTACATGCCCTGAGCGGGAACCGAACCCGGGCCTCTCCGGACCACAGGCTGACACTCTAACTGCTGAGCCAAACCGGCCAGGGCTCAGAGTAGTTCTTGTACATGGTGAAAGTCAAGTTGTACAGAAGGGCTTCTCCACCTGCAGCGCCTCTGATGAGAACCTCCCTGTCTGAGTACCAGGGTTAGACCACTATTTATAGACTTAGCAACTTGAGACATTGTCAATTTCCTGCTAAGATACATGAAGATTTGGCTCATTTTCCCCACTCACTACAACTCTCATGCCCGCTCATCAGTATTTTTGTGCCCATGTGTGTATTTTTATTTATTTTATTTATTTATTTTTTAAATTTTATTTTTGTTACAGATGTTTCTCCTTTTTTTGCCCCATTGACACCCTCCTCCCCATCCCCCCCACCCCGTCCCCAGATTGTTGTCCATGTCCATTAGTTATGCATACATGCATATAAGTTCTGTGGTTTATCTCTTCCCACCCCCACCACCCCCTCTTCTGAGGGTTGTCAGTCTGTGCCCTACTTCCATGTCTCTGGGTCTATCCTGTTCCTCAGACTGTTATATTCATTATATTCCATATATAAATGAGATCATGTGGTATTTGTCTTTTTCTGCTTGGCTTGTTTCACTTAGATTAATACTTTCTAGGTCCCTCCATGTCATCTCAAAGGATAAGAGATCTTTCTTTCTTACAGCTGCATAGTACTCCATTGTATATATGTACCACTGCTTTTTTATCCATTTGTCTACTGATGGACATTTGGGCTGTTTCCAGATCTTAGCTATTGTAAATAGTGCTGCTATGAAAATGGGGGTACATATATTCTTCCTGATTGGTGTTTCAGGCTTCTTAGGGTATATTCCTAGAAGTGGGATCACTGGGTCAAATGGAAGTTCAATTTTTAATTTTTTGAGGTAACACCATTGTGTTTTCTATAGTGGCTGCACCAGTCTGCATCCCCACCAGCAGTGTACTAGGGTCCCCTTTCTCCACACCCTCGCCAACACTTGTTGTTTGATGATTTGTTGATGGTGGCCATTCTGACAGGTGTGAGGTGATACCTCATTGTTGTTTTAATTTGCATCTCTCTGATGATTAGTGATGTTGAGCATTTCTTCATATGTCTCTTGGCCACTTGTATGTCCTGTTTGGAGAGATGTCTATTCAGCTCCTCTGTCCATTTTTTAATTGGGTTCTTTGTCTTCCTTTTGTTGAGTTGTATGAGCACTCTATATATTTTGGAAATTAACCCCTTATCTGATGTATCATTGGCAATGATGTTCTCCCATACAGTGGGTTGCCTTTCCATTTTGATGGTTGTTTCTTTTGCTGTGCAGAAGCTTTTTAGTTTGAGGTAGTCCATGTGTGTAATTTTAAATTGACACATGTTAATGCCAACATTTGCTCTGGCTACTTACAGCAGGATCTCTTGCCCACCCCACTTTGCAAAAATGAACCATTGCTGCCTCTACCTTTCACTTTACCTTTTTCCTCCTACCGATGTGTCAGCTGCACCTTTACTTTCACACTGTGAAGTCATAACATCGACCTCTGTTCTGGAACCGTCATTACGTTATCTGTGCTATGTCTGAATATCGATTCTAATACTTGAAAGACAAAAAGGCCGTGTTTACGGTACAGTGACTCTAAGTTCACAGGGCAGAGAGGACTCTCTGAGTCCATTTCTTTTTTCTTCTCCCAAAGTTTGACCCCAAGCACCTAAAAAAAAAAACAACTATCTAGAATCAAACTCAAGTGGAATTTGCTGCACCATACTGTTTCAATGGCTCAAGACAGTTTACTTCACATTTAAGCTCATCTTCCCGAGAAAATCTGTTTTTACCATGTAATCCCTATTTGGCTTGTTCACTTTATTCCTCTTTCTTTACCACCTATTCACTCAGAGTCAATAACAAGAACAACAACAAAAAATTGAGTACTGTCAACATCCAGGCCCTGTGCTGACCGCGGGGAAAGAGGGATGCAAGCAGAAGCTTCCATACCAGGGTCCTGGAGAGCACCCTAGAGATGTGGCCATTTCGTGGCTGCACTGCATTGTAGCCTCCTACACAGCTACGGGAGTTGTGGGTGGGCCCTGGTGAACAGACCCAGACACTGACTGATAAACTGCAGTGTGAAGTTACGGATTTTCACAGGCTGGACAATGCATTTATTTAATCATTTGGGCTTTTTCTTGACCTCCTCCTCTCTCTCCCTCCACAGGCCTTCAGGATGAATCAAGCACACTGAAAAGCAGCTTAGTAACTGTGACGGATTGCAGTGACTCTTCAGATGTATAACTGTAATCCCACATGTCAGAAGATCCAGGTGCCAATAGTGTTTAAGTATCACAGTGTGTCAGTAACTTGCCAACACGATACAAATGCTCCTGCCTTACAGCATTTCCCACAATAACCAGGGAGCCGATTGAGAGAACAGGGGTCTTTATAATGGCACCTAATACAGACTTGAAAAACAAATTGTCAACCGTATTTTGAAGCATATAAAAGTGTTTAAGATTTCTGCTTCTTAAAAATAGCTTGTCATTGAAGTCATAAAAAGTTTTTTCTTTAGAACGGTACTCTAGTGTTTCAGTGTATTTTTTCCAACTGATTTTTAAGTGAAAATTTTAATTATAGCAGGTTTTGGTTTCAATGAAAACTTTGTATATTTCTTATGTATGTTATCACATTGCAAGTGTTTTATTATAGAATTCTGTTAGCATCCTTAAAACGGAATTAGTGGAGTCAGTGAAATCTTAAGGGTAGATGGGTTATTTTCATTTAGAAGTTTAGAATTATAAAAATATAGCTAGGCTCATGTTAAATACATTTCCCAGAGGTACCTTTACCATATTCAGCTTTGAGCCATTGTAAGCATGTTGTTATAAACAATTATTTTAGAACTTTAAATACCATTTCTGCAGCATAATGTTTACCTTGGATATTTTATGAATAAAATGTCACTATTTTTAAGATGGATTCGAGAATTAGTTCTCCCATCTTTTCTAGCTAGGCCTTCTCCATCAATAAACCTTTCTTTGCTCCAAACTCTGATCTGTTGAGTATTGGCTTTTCTTTTGAAGCATCGGCTCATGAACCTTGGGCCTGTACAAATGACGAGCCACCCAGAAGCTACTGTTCCTGGTGGATTGGCTCCCACTGTGCCATGTGCCTGCATTGCACTGCCCCCCCCCACACACACACACACCCCTTACCCCCTCTTGCACATGTCGCATTTGGAGTAAGGAAACATCTTTGGATTCAGTCAGCTGTCTGTGAGATATAAACAACCTTTTTTTTTTTTTCCTTTAGAGCAATAGTGAAACATTTAACATTTATATTTTTCTCCCTACCTGATCCTTCAAGTTGTTTGGAGACCCTGAATGAGTATTATTATTTTCATAGCAATATAGTTATTTGCATAAAATTTGATAGGAATCTATTTTCTTCATAATAGCACACAGATTGGAAACTCTTGAAGAGGCTTTGACTGGAATGTTTGAAGGAGACATGCACAGACTCTGGATCTCACCAAAAAGCTCCAAGGGTTTCAGGTTGACTTTGGAGGCTGATCAAAGCCCTTTGGAAATGTTAACAGCCTGGTACCTTTCTTACATGGTTCATGGCAGTCTTTCCAGGTAAGGAACGAAGGTTGCTTTCCTGGAAGATGGCAAAGGAAGAACCTGAAGACACTTTGCAGGACCTCGAGACCCTGAAGAATCCACCCAAATATATAGTATTGCAGGCAAATGCTGATGGTGGCAACTATGTGGCTTGGCTTCTCAGCCCTGAGAGGCTAACTAAGGTTCAATCTGGAGATTCCTTATGAAATTCTAGCCAAGCAGATAAAAGAGCCTATGTAATCATTTGCCATTCATGGTACTTTTGCAAATAATAGACCAAATTTATTGAAACTAGACTTATGCAATGAATTAGTCTTAACTTGGCTATCTTTGATCAAATGAGGTGATTTTAGAGAGGAAAATTGTTTCAATAGAAACCATAATGTACAATTGTGGATATTAGATTATAGCTTGGTTAACTGTCTAAAATTTTTTTTCCACCTGTGGACTAGACTGGATCCTGAATTTTTCTAGTGAAAGTGTTTGGCTGCAGCCCTCTGAACTCGTGTTTCACTTTTCTCCCTTCCTTTGCCTTGGAGTTATTGAGAATGAAAACTTTTTTTGGAGCCTTGCACTTACAGACTGTAGGTAGATGACATAATGTAAACTTTGGAGAGATCATCACAACAGCTCATGTTTGGACAGTTTAGGTGACTAGTTCTGTGTAAGCCACACAGAGAGCTTACCTGAGCACCTGATGACATCATCAGGGACGTTTGGACTGCAGACCAGTGGAATCTGTCAAATTTTCAATGCTGGCTTCATTTCAGCAGAAAGGAAGCTTTGAGCCTTTCATCTGGAGGTCTTCCAGACTGACAGCCTCATAGACGCAGGGACTGGCTATGGTTGGCTCTGATCATTACTTAGGGTACAGGTATCCTGGCCTACTGGTTCTTCTACCATTGTTGTGGTCTCTGCTTGTAAGTTGTACACCCTTCTAAGGCTCAGGGACCATCTGGAAAGAGGTGGGCATGTGAGATTGTAAGAGCCAGAAGAGGGGCACGATGGGCAGACAACTCTGACCCCATCTTACAAGCTAACTCTCCCTCTTTATCGAACCTGGACCCAGTTGCCCTATTTCCCTCAAGCCTGAGGGATGAACAGAAAATGGGGAAAGTGTAACAATGAAATGCTTCCTCTCTCTGATGGCCTGCAGGCTAATCGTTCCTGCTGTGGATATGCTAATTAACTAGCAGAACTCCGCTTGAAGCTTGAGCAGCTCCCTAGTCAGCAAAGCGGAGGGGAAACACACACAAAGTAATGACTGTTTTTCAAAGATTCACAGGAGTTGCCATAACTGGACTCAGATCGGTGGGCGTCAATGGACCAACTGGGAACAAAGGGACTGAGAAGTTCCGCACTTTCAAGGTTCACCTGCCTATGCTGGCAGCGCCTGCCCCTTGCCTCGCTCCTCCTCCCTTTCCTTAGCAATAAACGATGCTTGGATTCCGGACTCTCTTAACGATTAGAGAATCAGTTCTCCCATCTTCTAGGGCTAGGATTTCTCCAGCAATAAACCTTTCCTTGCCCCCCCACCCCCCCAAGAAGCTATTTTAAGCATCAATTTATCATAATATGAATAGAAAAGATTGAGTCTACTGAATGTGTATGTAGTTTTTTACTTTGTAAAAATGCCCAACCCATATTATAAAATACCTCAAAACTAATGTCCTTCTAGCCTTAACAATGGCATTGTCAATAGTCAGAAAGTTCATATAAAGTTTTTTTGCATTTTTTATACTTTGTGGTACTATCTGTACTCTGTTTCCTAAAAGTAACATTTTAACTAAATGGTGGTTGTGTTTGTTACAGGTTAATAAGAAGCTAGGAAAATCCCAGGACAGGAGGAATAGGGAAACTGAGACAGGAAAGTTAAAAGAAGGCCCAGCAGTGTGGGCAATTTGCAGCAGGTCTGCAAATAACAAGCTGTTATCCTCCCCAAACCAAGGACACTTGAGAGCAAATAGTTAAAAACCTCCCTAATGAGAGAATGCAGGAAAGCCGTGACAAGAGGGGGCAAGTCTTCCTCACCTGCTAAACAAAGAAATCAGCCCTTTTAGGGAAGGAGAAAGGAAAAAAGGGCAGTTTTATTTTTTTACTCACTAAGCAGAAAAGCCAGGAGTCGAGGCTTGGCAAGATAAAATTGCTAGGTGCTTCTCATGAATTCTGGGATGGTCACAACAAAGTAAAGAGGGACCTTGAGAATTAATCTGTACTGAGATATTCAGCAGAGGAACTTTGAAACCTATGGACAGGAGGCATGTAACGCCTTGGACCCCCACCCAACTCGCTCTGCAGATTAGTTGAGACCCGTCTGAGCTCCATAAGCCAGATGTATAGGTTGGCTTGCTTCTTTAATACATTTGCTTGCTTTCATAAATTCTTGTTTTTTCACAATACAGTCATCTGGAGTTTTCTTGTTTACATTCGTTTATACGAGAAGACAAGAATTGAGGTTGGGGACAGCCTCTCTCTCGGACTCAGGGGCTGTCCTATAACACCTGTCTGATTGTCTATGAGAGGTGCCCGTTTCAAGTTTTGGATCTCTTTTCATTTTGTCAACCTTTTTTTTTTTAAATATGTTTTTATTGATTTTTTGTTTTGTTTTGTTTTGAGAGAGAAAGGGAGAGGAAGAGGAGAGATAGAAACATCGATGTGAGAGAGAACAACCATCGATTGGCTGCCTCCTGCACGCCCTGTTACTGGGGATTGAGCCGCATCCTGGGCATGTGCCCTGGTCAGGCATCGAACTGGGACCTCTCAGTCCATGGGACAACGCTCAATCCACTGAGCCACACCGGCCAGGCCATTTTGTCAACCTTGAGTGTAAAGCCCTCCATTGCATCGCTGTGACTAGCTGAGTTAGTAGAGATGATTTCTGAGTTAAATCTTGTTAGGGGACTTAAGCTTGCCTTGTTGGCTATGCCGTATAACACCCTGATCTGAAGTTAGAACCATTTATCTGTTTCTATCTCCCCTCCTCCCATCCTTTTCACTTGTAGTCCACTGTCATCCTTTTAAAAACTTCCCACGGGGGCCACTTTATGCAAATGTACACACTTCATATGTAAGTTTCTAAAAGTTTTAATGAAAGCCAAATCAATTTTCATGCCGTAAGACAGAGGTAAGCAACCTACATACACTGTGACTAAGAAGGCACACATGCCATTGTGTTCATTCATTCATTCAACAGATATTGAGCTACTTGGATTTGGTTTTTTGTGTTTTTTTTTTAACATGCATTATTAGTTCACTTAATTAGATCAACTTTGAGACATAGTTATTATAACCTCATCCTCAAGATGGGAGAAACTGAGAGCTACTAAGTAACTTGCCGAAGGCCATACAAGTGGAAGTGACAAGCAGGCTTTAAGCCAGGTGTCACTTTCATGTTCTGTCTGCCAGGGCAAGGTTGGGGTAATTGAGGAACTTCTGCTAAGTACACCCAATACTCAAATTTAGTCACTACATCTGTGTTGTAAAATCCAATCCTTTAACTTACCTGTTCAGTCCTATCATTTTGTCCTGGGTCTGTCTGTTCATTTTCCTTTGGGCCGTCACCACATTTTTCCCCTCACTGAGGCACAGCTAACACATCCGTCTCTGGTCACTGGCAAAGCATTTCTGTCTTTCTACTCCCTCTTCTCCCTAAATTCTTCAGGAGCTAGAATAGTTCAGTATGATCTAAACATTATCTTTCCTGGCACAGCTCTGAAATTTAAAAATTCACTTTAAACACAGTAAAAACCCTGCCCTACTCTGGCCTGTGGCACCTAACTTTGCTTTATTGCTTTCAGTTCATCTGTATCCCTGGAAAAGATATTTCAAGTATTATCTTGGTCAAATATATATATATTTTATATATATATATATATATATATAATATATATATAAATTATAAATATATAAGATATATTTATAATTTATATATATATATATAATTTTGGGGGGTAACGAACATGTTCGTTTTCTTTTCTTTCCACTGAGCACCTCCAAACAATGTGATTTTGCTTCAGGACCATGTTATTTTCACCCATGCTGTGATTGGTACTGGAAAGTGTCTTGCTCACAGGTAACACAGATACCAACTCTTATCCAAAGCTTAAAACTATATATTTTAGCCCAGCCAGTGTGGCTCAGTGGTTGAGCATCGACCCATGGACCAAGAGGTTGCTGGTTCGGTTCCTGGTCGGCATAGGCCCAGGTTGTGGGCTTATCCCCAGCAGGGGGTGTGCAGGAGGCGGCCAATCAATGTTGATGTGTCTCTCTCATCGATGTTTCTATCTCCCTCTCCCTTCCTCTCTGTCTAAAATCAATAAAAATATATTAAAAAATAAAATGTATATTTTACCCTCGACTGCCTCGGTTCAGAGTCCTTGTTTTATCACTCGCTGTGGCAAGTAACTTAAACTCTCTGCTTCCATTTTCTTCTCCATCAATTCAGGATCCTAACAGTCTTTACCTAAGAGGGCGATTGTGAGGATGAAGTGAGTTAGGGCACATGAGGTGTTCGGAACAGTGCCGGGCATGTGGTAAAAGGGCTAGTTCTAGGAATAAATAATTGTTCAAAAATCACCAGAGCACTTTACATATTTGAAAAATGGCCTCTCCATTGCCCAGTTAGTTCCACACAAAGGATCTGAGAGACATCAGAACCTGACGTGTAGGTTCTGTGTGAGGCAGGTACCACCCAGGGTCCAGGACTCCCTCTGTTGGCTTCAAAGTCAGACTTGAGCAGCATTTCTAGCTCAGCTCTTGCTGATGCTGCGCCCCAGAATCTGCTTTCTGTATCAGAGAAACCTAAGCGGTTATTTAAGGTGGACAAGCCCAGTAACGCGCCATAGCATCTTGGCCCCATCAGCCCTTCCTTGAGCAGTTGTGAATTAGTGATGGCAGACAGGTGTAAGGAACTAGAAGTCACCACATGCAGCCAGGAACATGTCCATCCAATCCAAACATCTTCTGAGGAATAGTCTCAGATTGCCCGCATACTGTTTACAAGACATCATTCTTTTGCACTTTCTGTTCAACATACGAAGAAAGAAACATAGGAGATGGGGACAAAGATTGCAGCATCTGAATAATTAAGACTGCTTTACAAAATACATCTTAGGCCTGGCCCGTGTGGCTCAGTGGACTGAGTGTCGCCCCATGGACTGAGAGGTCCCTGTTCGATTCCCGGTCAGGGCACATGCAGGGGGCATGCAGGAGGCAGCTGATTGATGTTTCTCACAATGATGTTTCTATCTCTCCCTTTCTCGCTCTCTAAAAAAAACCAATAAAAACACTAAGAAAAATATGTCTTGACCCCTTTTGGTGCTAAATACATGTGCTAGAAATGTATAAAATATATACAAATCCTGTAAATAACCTGTTTATTTTTTTTATAGAAAGCCACAACAGAAAATGATCAGTATATAACTATATAAGAACATTTACATCCATACAATCAACAAGTTCTTCAAATTCATATTTAAAAATAGTTTGAGTGTTAATTAGAGGAGGGCCCTGAGGGGATCGTTTGTGAAGGGTTCACCTTTGTAGCAAACTCAAGACGCGGCTTGTAGCAGTGTTGTTTTCAGACGTAAGCGTTTTTATCAAACTGTTTAGAAGGGTTTGTGGTTTTAATGTCTCCTTCTCCACCGTGGTACTTTGTCCGAGAAGACATGACAGATGTGGGCCCATTGTATGCGTATCCCATTCTGAAAAGCAGAACACAGCTCAGCAGATTGTTGTACACACGAGGCAAACAAAAGGGAAGAAACCATTCTCCCCAATTGTCACAGCTAAGTTTACATCTTCCCAGGAAATATTCCTGAACTAGAGTGACCATCTCTGCAGAATAAACTCACGGCTTTTACATTTGTTCAGCGAGTCGCCTTCAAAACTATTCGTTAAAACTCCTCTTCCTGGAACCTAGGAGACTAGTGACCTTCATCAGCAATTTCTATGTGGAAATGATGAGGCCCCAGTGAAGATGCCCCCGCAGTCAGACCCATGTTTCTGCTTCCAGAAATAACTTTGGGATGTAAGAATAGGGTGTTCTTTTTAACAGATGAACTATAATTAACTAGATTCGATTCAATATAGCATTTACTATGTTTAATATTTACTGTATATTCCTCACCTTTCCCAATTCTGGGTTTTTGAAGTTTCTAAGAATTGTGAACTATCTATAATTTGTCCCACATGTAGTAATTTAGAATAGTATTGTACTTTTAAAGGGGTCATTTTGTTTCGTTTTCATACCTGGGTGTTTTGTTGTTGTCAGATATTGAAAAGCAAAATATGACACCACCAATTATGCAGAGTGAGGCTCCCGACCATCCAATAAACAGAGCAGCTCCTAATTCATACCTGTGAGGAAGTGTTACACAAGTATTACAGCTTACTTGTTAGGGGGTGAACAGTAACACTATATGCCAATATTTACTGAACGCTAATTTTTATTAGAGCTTGTACAAAAAGTAATAACACTCTGTGTCCATATAATGCTTTAAACTTTTGTCAAAGTGTCTTTATAGGCATCACTTGATTATATATCATCAACATCCCAAAAGAAAGATAAAGTGATCCCTGCAGGCGAAGTAGAAGCAAAAAAAAAAAAAAAAAAAAAATTCATTTAATGTTTATTGCCCAGCTGGTGTGGCTCAGTGGTTGAGCATCCACCCATGCACCAAGAGGTCACTGGTTCGATTCTCGGTCAGGGCACATGCCCAGGTTGTGGGCCGGATCCCCAGTGGGGGGCATGCAGGAGGCGGCCAACCGATGTTCTCTCTCATCGATGTTTCTCTCTCTCTCTCCCTCTCCCTTCCTCTCTCTCTAAAATCTATAAGTAAAAAAATAAAAACATTTATTAAGCACCTGCTGTGTGCAAATCATGCTCAAGGTGCTGAAGGCGGGCAGAATGTGCCAGCCCCAAGCATGCCACTTTGGCGTAAGGGTTATTTTGAGCTGAAGGCAACTGAAAAGAAACAGATACAAGAGAAGATTTCTGCCCTCCCCTATTTGCCTAAAAGTAGGACAATATGTAAAGTGGACCTCTCTGCCCTCTCTACCAGGAAGGACAGAAGTCGATCACCAAGACGACTAGACCCTAATCAACCCAGAGGAATCTCTGTTAACAAACTTAACTAACTGCATCTTCCATTAGACCCTACCCCACAACTAGCCACCCTAGAAGCTCAAATCCTCTTCCTCTGACTTGTCACTTCGTTACAAATTTAGTGTTAAGACTGTAGATAAGCTCAAGTTCTAACCACCCTTGAGTTACTCATCACTGAGTGCTTGCACGTGTATGTGTGATGCACATTAATACACTTCTGTTTGTTTTTCTCATTAATGTATTTCATAACAGAATTTAGGAGATTAGAGGGGGAAAAAGTTTTCCCTCCTCCCCAGTGCCCATAAAAGGTCAGTGAAAGATTCAACATCATCTTGTTTATTACTACAACCTAGTGGGAGATGAAGAAAAAATAATTATCATTTGATGATAGTTTGCTATTAAGCATCTCCTGATGGTAGGCCATCTCTGCAGATGACTGGAATGGATGCAAAGATAAACAAGCCAACCCCTGCTGTGGGAAGGTCGCCATACCAAGGTACACATAATGCTGCTGAGAACAAAAAAGAAATCACAGTGGGGGCTAGAGGAAGTCCTTTTAGGGGAGGAGCAGTCCCCCAGAGAAACAAAGAACGAGAAAAGTATACCCAAATCTCAGGGGCTATGTGTTTTCTCATGTTTGCCTATCCCATTCTTGAAGAATAGTGGTTTTTTTGTTGTTTTGTTTTTAATTTTTCTTTATTGATTTTTTTTAGAGAGAGAGGAAGGGAGAAGGAAAGAGAGATAGAAACATCAATGAGAGGGAACATTGATTGGTCGCCTCCTGCAAGCCCCCCACTGGGGATCCGGCCCACAACCTGGGCACGTGCCCTGACTGGGAATCGAACTGGCAACTTCCCGGTGCACGGGTCCATGCCCAACCACTGAACCACGCCAGCCAGGAGTAGTTGTTTTGATTTTTAATAAAGAAGTGATTCTCAAACTTTTTTGGCCCATAGACTAACAGCCATTGCAAGGTGAAAAGTGATGGTTGCCATTCCCTACCTAAGGGTGCTTTTCGTTGTAAAGGGAAGTCACAGTAGGAAAGGTCTGATCACACTGAATCCAGAGGAGCTGAGAAAGGAAAGTATGAAGAAAAGGTAAGAAAGACGTGCCAGGCTGGCTCGCTCCCCAGCCCAATGCCTTGAACCAGCTGCAGGGCCAGGGCCAGGATGAGGTACTGCGGTCACACCCTGATGCTGACAGCAGCTGGCCCGCGCCTGTCCTGTGTTGTCTCATCTCTTTCTACGTGCGTGTCATCCTCCAGGCGGGCAGGCCTCTGGCGTGGTTTGAGTCGCAGCAGTGGTGGGCAGTGTAACAGCATGGCCCCGGCCACCAGCTGGCGGGAGCAGGAGGCAACGCTTACCGAAGATTAGGGACTTACAGTCCACTTGCCAGGTTTCACATCTGTCTATGGAGGCGATTTCATGGCCTGTGTCTGCAACGGGGAGAGATGTACAGACCGCCCTGTGATCCCTCCTTTTCTCACTCCTGCGATGCCTTTCTTTGGAAATCAAGGTGACAGCTGAAGCAGGGAACAGCTGTAAGCACCTCATCCTGCCCTGGAGCCCTGATTAGGCTCTGGAACCGAGAAACTTCGACTGGTACCATCAGAGACAATGGCCAGAAACAGAAGGCTGGTGTAAGTACAGAAAAACATCTTTAGTCTGCACAAAATAAACAGTCCAAAAGAGGACAGAAGAGAAGCGTGCACAGGTGAAAAAGAAGGGAGCTGGCCAGATCAAGAGTGTTGAATTGGCAGGTTTTTGTTTTTGTTTTTTGTTTTTATCCTCACCCGAGGACATCCTTTCCATTTTTTGTTCAGATAGAGTGGGAGGGAGAAAGAGAGAGAGAGAAACATCGACGTGAAAGGGACACATCGAGTGGCTGCCACCCACATGACCCAACCAGGGCCGGGGACAAACTGCAACCGAGGCATGTGCCCTTAGCGGGAACCGAACCCGGGTCTCTCCGGACCGCAGGCCGACGCTCTAACCGCTGAGCCAAACTGGCCAGGGCTGAATTGGCAGTTTTATAAAAGATATCCTCATTAAATATGTTATACATCTAAAAAGGATGTCGTGGCCCTGGGCAGTGTTGCCCAATGGTTGGAGCATTGGCCCAAGCACCCAGGGGTTTCAGGGATTCCCCATCAAGGGCACGTACCTGTGTTGCAGGTTCATTCCCCGGCCCTGCCCAGGGCACATGTGGGAGGCAATCGGCTGATACGTCTCTCTCACATCTCTCTCTCTCTCTCTCCTTCTCTCCCCATCCCTCCCTCCCTTCAACTCTCTCTAAAAATATCAATGGAAAAAGTGTCCTTGGGTGAGGAATGACCAAAAATAAATAAAAAATCAAAATAAAAAGGATGTCCTGGATTCCTGCATCAATCCTGCTTTTATGATTTTTTTCCCCCAATTTTTATTAATTTATTTTTGTTATAGATGATTCTCCTCCCCCCCCAGACACCCTCCTTCTCATCCTGCCCCCCTACCCCCCAGCATTGTTGCTTTTTTTTTTATGATGGTTTTTTCTTTTCCTTTTTTGGTAGGTGCCCCTATCGGGAACCAAACCCGGGGCTCTCTGGTCCGCAGGCCGATGCTCCACCCGCTGAGCCAAACCAGCTAGGGCTTTTTTATGATGTTTTAACAAGATTATGCAAATAAAACAAGCAGAGGGCCAAGCTGAAGGCGCATATCCCAAAGTCCTGTAGTAAGCTGGCACCACACCCGTCCACTCTCGTCCACTTACCGCAAAGACAACTAAAAGGACGAGCACACTGAAAATTTCTACTTGAAGGACATTAGTATAAGATTACAATTTAATGACACTTTCCAATTTTCTCTCTTTCCCCCCCTAGATTTTAGGCGGTCTTCTCTCCTGAATATGTGTTAGTATTACTTGGGGTAAATACTCCTGGAAGAAACAGCCTGAGGTTTGTCTTAAAATATTTAGCTTTCTAAAATAGGATGCCAGTGCCAGCTACCATGGTTGATTAAAAATAAGTCTCTAATTATTACTAGTGGTCCATTCGAAGTGAAGGTGATAGAAATCATACACCACAAGCTCGGCACTATGAGTTCAAAAGAACACGCGAACACGTGTGGCGTATTGTTACAAACCAGAGGATACGTTATCCAGACAGCTCAGATGTCGGCAGTTATGTCTTTATATTTATTTAAGCATCTTGAAACTTTCTGAAGGGACTTAAGAATCAAGAGTTTGGCTTATATTAAAAACTGGTTCACTTATTCCTCTTTTAAATATATTTTAATTTTCTTTACATCACTAAATATATACTGTATTCCAAGGAAAATGTCATTTCCTTTAGAATCTGTGATTTTTGTTGGAGACAGACACTTGATAAATAGTAGTACCATGTTAGAGTTGAAGTCTTTAAGAGACTCCACATTCATACCAGTAACTTCTAACAATTCAGATGTGAAGGCTTTTGTGATTCGATTCTTTCTCCTTCCAAGATTTTTCTTCTAGATTCTGTTAACAGACACACACAGCAGATTCGCTCAGCAGTCACCTGAATGCACACCTATCGGCATGTATGACCCGGTAAAAGCAGACTTCCATTACTGAACGACAGGCCTGCGGGGGAACAATCCACTACCCACCCCGAGTGGCCATGGAGCACGCCTCCCTGACACTGGCTGGGAAACCGTCTCTGCCTGGAACCGCTTCATGTTGCTCATGGTAAAAAGCTGACTTCTACACCTCAGAAGACTACCCAAATTTCAGGTGATCTGCTGCAGGTCCTTCTTTTGTTCAAATACTCTCCTGGCCCTAGACCAGCTTTCCCGCTTCTTGTGCGGCCTCCTCACTGAGCTGTGAACAGCTGCCACAGTCTTCATTTTCCTGGAAGGTTATAAATGTGCTTAACACCAGGCAGATCCGTGATCGTCAGGCTGAGGACAGGACCTCACTTTATAGACCAGAACATCGTTCTCGGAGCATCTCTCAGATATTCTGCTCAGTTGATAGGACTAATCAGAAGCTGCCTTTAATTCATGTATGTAATTGAATGAAAATTTAGTAAATGAGTAATAGGAGGAAATGTATACAGAGACATTAAAGCGCAGATTACTCACTTGAAATTGCCCCAAAAAAGAACCCTAAAGCTCAAAGGCCTTAAAATGTCCTCAGAATTTTTGGATGGAGTTATTCTCGTCCACCTGGCTGTGCCTGGGGCTCCAGGCTGTGGCTCGCGACAGAATCAGAACCAGAACCACCCTTGGGGGCCTTA